TGTTATAAAGTAACAAAATAACTATAATCTCAAAGGCAACCACTAATAAGTAAAGACAAAAAATTCGAAAGAAAATTAAAGTAGCACACTATTAAATATGTATTTAACATAAAAAATCAGCAATAGGACTAAGAAAAACAAAACAGATATATGCTATAAAAAGAAAACAGAGGCTGGGCGTGGTGGCTCATGCCTGTAATGTTAGCACTTTGGAAGGCCGAGGTGGGTGGATCATGAGGTCAGGAGTTCAAGACTAGACTGGCCAAAATGGTAAAACCCCATCTTTACAAAAATTAGCCAGGAACAGTGGTAGGCACCTGTAATCCCAGCTACTTAAGAGACTGAGGCAGGAAAGTTGTTGAACCCAGGCAGAGGGGTTGCAGTGAGCCAAGATCACACTACTACACTCTACCCTAGTGACAAAGGAAGACTTCATCTCAAAAGACAACAACAGCAACAACAACAGAAAAGCAAAATACAAAACTAGACTAGAAAATGGCAGATGCAAATTTTACCTCATCAGTAATTACAGTTAATGTTCACGAAGTAAACTCCCAACTTAAAAGGCAGAGATTGACACAATGAACTTTTTTTTTCTGAGATGGAGTCTTGCTCTGTAGCCCAGGCTGCAGTGCAGTGGCACTATCTTGGCTCACATCTAGGCTCACTGCAACCTCCGCCTCCCTGGTCCCAGTTCAAGCAATTCTGCTACCTCAGCCTCCCAAGTATCCAGGATTACAGGCACTAGCCACCATGCCCAGCTAATTTTTGTATTTTTTAGTAGAGACAGGGTTTTACCATGTTGGCCAGTCTGATCTTGAATGCCTGACTTCGTGATCCACCCACCTCAGCCTCCCAAAGTGCTGGGATAATAGGTGTGAGCCACCCCACCTGGCCCACAATGTATTTTTTTTTGGGGGGGATGGAGTTTTGCTCTTGTTACCCAGGCTGGAATGCAATGGCACAATCTCAGCTCACTGCAACCTCCGCCTCTTGGGTTCAGGCAATTCTCCTGCCTCAGCCTCCTGAGTAGCTGGGATTCCAGGCACGCGCCACCATGTCCAGCTGATTTTTTGTATTTTTAGTAGAGACGGGGTTTCACCATGTTGACCAGGATGGTCTCAATCTCTTGACCTCATGATCCACCCGCCTCGGCCTCCCAAAGTGCTGGGATTACAGGCATGAGCCACCGCGCCTGGCCCACAATGCATTTTTTTTAAAAAAACACATGATACAACTATATGCTCTCTACAAAAGACAAACTTTAGATTCAAGGACAAAAAAATAGGTACAAAATAATCATCCTGGGCAACATAGCAAGATCTCATCTCTACAAGAAAAAAAATACAACCAAAAAAAATCAGCCAGGTGTGGTGACGTGAGCCTGTAGTTCCAACTACTCAGGAGGCTGAGGTGGAAGATTTCTTTGAATACAGGAGTTTCAGGTTGCAGTGAGCTATGATCATGCTATTGCACTCAAGCCTGGGTGACAGAGACTCAAATTTTTTATTTTAAATTAAAAATAGATATATAATAAAAATAGATATATAGTAAAAGAATGAAAGGAAAAGATAAACTTTACACAGTAACCAAAGAGACTTTAAGGGCTATAAGTCAGACAAAAACTATAATTATCAGGCTAAATAAACTTCAAGACAAAAATTGTTGATAGAGACAAAGAAGAACATTTCATGATAATAAAACTGACAATCCATCAGGAAGACATAACAATAATAAAGATATGTGTATTTAACAACACAGCTCCCAAATTAAATGAAAAAAATTGACAGAATAAACAATATGATAATTGAAAATTTCTATACCTCACTTTTAATGATGAACATAACAATGAGATAGAAGATCAAGGAAACAGAAAGAAGATCAACGAAACAGAAGACAAACAACACTATAAAGCAATGGCATCTAACATCCATCTATGGAACAATCTAACCAGTAGAAAACATATTATTTTCAAGTGGACATGGAACAGTGTCCAGGGTAGGTATTAGACCACACACTGGTCTCAACAAATCTGAAAGTACAAAAGCTAGAAAAGTATGCTGTCTAACCACAATAGAATCGAATTACAAATAAATAAAAACACTGGGGGGAATCCACAACTTGTGGAAATGAAGTAACACATTACTAAGAATCTTTGGGTCATAGAAATAAGAAAATTTATAACATAGTTAGAAATAAAAGGAAACAAAACAACAAAAGAAAATGTATATGTAGCTAAAGGAGCCCTTTGAGAAATTTATAGCTGTAAATGTTCATATTAAAAAAAGAAAAATAACTCAAATCAATAATCTAAACTTTGACTTTAAGAAAACAGAAGAAGAGCAAAGCTAAATCAAGTAGAATGAAAGAAATAAGAATAAAATGCAAATAAATAAAACAAAGAATAGAGAAGAAAAAAATATCAGAAGCTGTTTCATTGAAATTTTTTATTTGTTTAGTGACAGGCTGGATGGTGGTGTGTGCCTATACTCCCAGCTACACAAGATGCAGAGGCAGCAGGATTACTTAGGCTCAGAAGATCAAGGCCAGTATGGACAACATAGCAAAACCCCTGTGTCTTAAACAATTGATGTAACTTTATCTACACTACTGAAAACAGAAGACTCGATTTTCATAAAATCTGGTATGAAACTCAGACTATTATGAACACCCTTATAGAAACAAGGTACATCAACAAATTAGATAACCTAGATTACATAGGCAAATTCCTAGAAATGCATAAATTACAGGTATTGTCACAAGAAGAAAAAACAGAAAATCTGAAGTCACCTTTAACAAGAGATTGAATTAGTTACTCAACAAGTTACCACAAATAAAATCCCACATAAATAATTTCTCTGATGAATTCGACCGAATCATTAAAGAAATAACATCAATCCTTTACCAACTCCTCCAAAAAACAAGAGAGCAGAAAACATTTCCCAACTTATTCCATGATGCTACCTTTACCCTAAGTTTTATCAAAACCAAATACATCATTAAAAAAGTGAATCATGGACCTGGCCTTGACAACATAGAGATATCCTATCTCCACAAAATAAAAAAATTAAAAATTAGCTATGTGTGGTGACACATACCTGTATTCCTAGCTACTTGGGAGGCAGGGGGTGCAAGACCACTTGAGCCCAGGAGTTCAGGCCTGCAGAGTCAAGAGCTGAAGTGAGCTATGACTGGGTCACTGTACTCCAGTCAGGGTAACAGAATGAGACTTTGTCTCCCCAAATAAATCAATGAATAAATAAAATCAATTTGGCAAAATTCTACATTTGTCATTTCATGCAAAATTCAAATAGAATAAAAATGGAAAAGAAAATGATTCAGAAATGAAGGTGGAACGACTCACCACAGTAAAATATACATTATTTAGATATTATCCAGTAATCCACTAAAAAAAATCAACAAAAAGATCTCAGGATGTTGCATGGAACACATGGTATATATTTATTCCAAATGATGTTGATTTAGCTACTCACCCCTATTTTCTGAAGTGGAGGACCTCATTCCAGTCCTCCTCTACCTCAGCAAAACAAAATAGAAGAAAAAGAAATGGTCTCAGAAAATGCTCAACAGTAAAAATAACAAAGCACTAAAATTAATTCCTTTGTCAATATTTAATATAGGCATGCAGTGTTCCCTTCTTTCAGAATACATCACGGTTGCTTGACCATTCTTGACTGAAGCATTCTGATTTTTTCATTTTTACTCAAGAGTGTATTTCCTATATATAAGCATCTATCTACAATTCCCTGTTCAAAATGTACAAAATAAAGCAAATCTTGGGCCACTAAGCTTAAAGTGCACACTGACTCATAAGACAGGATGCTAACGCCCTCTTCGGAGAGGTAGAAAAGGCATGCTCACAGGGGTACTATGTTGTCACTGAAGGATCACCAAATAGAGCCAGGCTCTGAGAGTCTTATTTGTCCTGCTGGAGGGCCGCACATCTGGACCTCAGATTGACATCTGGAATGAGTCCCTCAGCATCCTCAGACAAGTATTCTCATCATCGATCCAAACAAGCACCCTCCCGACAAATAAGCATTTACATACCAGGCTTATATTGTGCATGCTTATCTAGTACATCATCAGTCAGAACAGCAAATGTACAGTAGACATTTTGTTTCGTATCTGAATAATGGAACTCTCATATACATAGGATGAAAAAACACATGACTGAATTGCTCTAATAAATTAGAATGAAATATATTGAAAAAAATTCTTAAGTTAATTAAATGAATTAAAATTTGTAGGAATAGGTGAGGCAGCAAAATTAATATATACTATGATTACATGACAAATATAAGTAGAAACATCTGTGTTCAAAATGTGCCAGATAAATTTTTTTTTTCTTTTTTTAAGATGGAGTTTCACTCGTTGCCCAGGGTGGAGTGCAATGGCAGGATCTCGGCTCATTGCAACCTCTAACCCCTGGATTAAGGCAATTCTCCTGCCGCAGCCTCCCGAGTAGCTGGGATTACAGGCATGTGCCACCATGCTTGGCTAATTTTGTATTTTTAGTAGAGACAGGGTTTCTCCACATTGATCAGCCTCGGCTTCCCAAAGTGCTGAGATTACAGGTGTGAGCCACCATGCCTGGCCAAAAATTTTTAAATAAATATTTAAGCTAGGCATGACAGCACATGCCTATTCAGGAAGTTGAGGCAAGATGATTACTTGAGCCCAGGAGTTGACGGGCAACCTGGGCAACACGGCATTATCCCATCTCTATTTTATAAAAAATAAATATTTAGCACACTGAATTACATTATGAGATTATTTTCATCCAACAAAAAATGTTAAGGAATGGAAATGTATCAATACTTCCTTCAATTTATTCAGGTTACTACAAAAAAAAAATCTGTTTTTCAAAAAAAGGGGAAAAACAATGCGGATTCCCTAAAAAAAAAACTACAGACACTCACATAGCAGAAAAATCTATTATAAAAATAGTCTCCTTTGAGCCTCTAAAATCATGAACTCTCAGATGCTGAAGTTCTGGCATCACTGGCCACAACACACATAAACAATTTCAAAAGCACCACAGTAGCTGCTCACCTCTCTTGCTTGAAGTTCTGTAACATCTTCTAGACCTGCAGCAAACTATCAAAAAGAAAATACATCAGATTAGAAAATATACAAAATACACTAAAAAATAAGATACAAACATTATTTCTGTAACAATAACCACAGAGCCATCTTTGCACAAGTCACAAATCTTTGGTCCTTTGTCACCTTTGCTATTTATTCATTTCCTCCCCCAAATCTTTATTTTTGAGATGGAGTCTAGCTCTGTCACCCAGGCTGGAATGCAGTGTTGCAATTTCAGCTCACTGCAGCCTTCCCGTTTCCAGTTCAAATGATTCTCCTGGTTAAGTCTCCCAAGTAGCTGGGACTACAAGTGTGTGCCATCACACTGGTTAATTTTTGTATTTTTAGTAGAGATGGGATTTTGTCATGTGGCCAGGCTGCTCTTAAACTCCTGCCCTCAAGTGAGCTGCCCACCTCAGTCTCCAAAAGTGCTGGGATTATAGGTGTGAGCCACCACACCCTGGTAAAATTCTTTATTCTTTAAATAGTAAAAAAAGTTGGCAGGTGCATTACCTGAGGTCAGGAGTTCAAGACCAGCCTGGTCAACATGGTGAAACCCAGTCTCTACTAAAAATACATACCTGTATTCCTGGCTGTGGTGGCACATACCTATAATCCCAGCTACTTGGGAGGTTGAGGGAGGAGAATAGCTTGAACCTTGGAGGTGCAGGGTGCAGTGAGATGACGCCACTGCACTCCAGCCTGGGCCAACAGAGTGAGACTCCTTCTCTAAGCAAACAAACAAACAAACAAACTTACTTCTCTACCACCCTATGTAAATCAGAGATTCTAAAGTTGTATTCCGCCAGATAAAGACTTCATTAAAATGCCCTGGGGTAGGTAAAATTAAAGGTGCATGATAGGGGTGTTGTGAAACCAATATTCTAGAAGAAATAAAAACTTTAGGAATCTACTTCAATAGGACAATAGAAGTCTCTCTTTCTCCCTGTCTCTCTCTTTCCGTGTGTGTGTGCCTGTACTTAAAATTTTGAAATCTATTTCAAAATGTTATATAAAAATCAAAGATGGCAGGAACAGAAAAAAGATGAAAATTTTGGTAAAATAAATGAAAATCAGGTGGATCATGGTGGCTCACACCTGTAATCCCAGGACTTTCCGAGGCCGAGGTGGGCAGGTCACCTGAGTTCAGGGGTTCCAGACCAGCCTGACCAAGATGGAGAAACCCCCTCTCTACTAAAATTAGTTGGGTGTGGTGGCAGATGCCTGTAATCCCAGCTACTGAGGAGGCTGAGGCAGGAGAATCGCTTCTTGCTTCAACCCAGGAGAGGGACGTTGCAGTGAGCCAAGATCGCACCATACCACTCCAGCCTGGGCAACAAGAGCAAAACTCTGCCTCAATCAATCAATCAAAATGGACATGACAAAAAAGAACAAAATGGAATAGGATACTGCCATTGTAAGACATAAGAGACGTAAGATGGAGTAAGCATGGTCCATCTTTATACAACCAGAAAATCCCCAGGAGGGATGCATTGATATGCTAGCAGAGAACTTGGAAGACTAAATTTTTGAAGGTGAACTGGGGAACTCAAAGGGCCATAAAACAACAGTGAGTTTCATATTTTTCCTTTTCTCTAATATCCCAGCCTGAATTTAGTATGGGAGAGTATCTGAAAAAGAAAACATAAAACTGCTTATTGAGTACAAAAACGAACACCGAATCTATATACTTACTATTTCAATGTAATTTTTTTTACAATAAGAATAGCTCACACCAATATTAAACAGAATACACATTTTGCACAGACTATTATCTGCCTTCAAATACAGCAAAAATTATCTTAAGCATTACTTACAGACAGGTCCTCAAATGTTAAATAAACCTAGTTACTATATTCTAGTAAGAGAATTGAAAACATGAGTACACAAAAACCTCCACATAAATATTCCCAGCGGGATTAGTCATAATAGCCAAAAACTGATGAATGGAAAAGAAAAATGTGACATATTTATAATCACTCCTCCATCAAAAAGAATGGAGATCTCATACATGCTGCAACATGGCTGAACCTTGACAACATTAGGCTAAGTGAAAAAAATTCCAGGCAAAACAGCTTCCTTCTAATATAAATGCTTCAAATGTGGGCATCTACAAGGCCTGCTGGTATAGTAGTATTCATGCATTTATTACACTTTCATGTTGCCTCAGCATTTATTATGCTCGAAGCTATATGCTCAAACCACTCCATTTCACATGTTCTTTTGCATTATTTTCATCAACGAATTTCAGACTTACTGAGCAGATACAAGAGTATCTATAATTCTTCGCTAATTTTCAACTGGATTTCCTATTTGCTAACATCTTACAATACCAGTTTCATTTTTCTCTTAATTTTTTGAAACATGTATCACATTATTTTATCCAAACACTTTGAAAATTACCGCAATGAATTATCCCTATATCTTTTAAATTATTTTTATTTCTTAAAAGCAAGGATTTTCTGTTATGTAACCTCAGTATCAGTACCCAACTTAGGCAATTTAATATTCACGTAACACTATAACCTATTTGAGAGACTGTCTTAAAACTTTGCCAACTTTCCCTTTCATGTCCTTTTACAATCATCTTGAATCAATGTTATATTCTGTTCTCATGTCTATTTAGTCTGAAATAATCTGGACCATTTCCTCAGTGAAATTCCTATGTTTGAGTATGAAAAGCAGAATATCAGTCAATTTGAGACTAATGTTTCCTCATGGGCATACTCAGGTTTATGCATTTAACTCAGTAATACTATAGAAATAAGGCGGCTGTGTTCTCACTGCATCCTATCAGTGCTCCCTGATGTTTCCACTACTGGTGTTAGTAACTTTCACCTCTTTAATTCAGGTGCCGTCAACCATGTTCTCCATCAGAAAGCTACTCCTCATTTTGTAACTGATAAAGATCTGAAATTGCACAATATCTAAGTGTCCTGTTTCTCTTAAAATTTTCTCCAAGTTTTAGCATCATTTGATGATTCCTGGCTGAAAAAATTATTATTTCCAAATACCGATATTCCAAATCCTGTTTCTGTTTGTTAACACTATCTATTGTAAAGATGAGCTTTAGTGGCAACCCTAAGCATTCATTCGTATTAATAATATTTTAATAATCTTACCAACAGTGATTAGGTCTCTCAATCTTCAGAAGACTGTGTCCAAAAATTTCAAAATGGTCTCAGACAAAATCAGAGGTTGTTCACTGCTCAGTATCCAGTGGTATTCTATTTGAGAGATGCGGCTTCCCCCATCTCTGCTTTCTCCTGCTGTACTCATTTTCTTCTTCAGTATTCTCAACATGTCAGAGACCCAACTGAAAGAATCTCATACAATTTCCAACCCCCCAAATAGCAGAATACAAAAATACAAAGTTAGAATGGCACAGTGCACTCCTTACATGACAGTCAAAATTATAAACTACTTCAATAACTGCCATAGCATAGTAAAGCAACATTTATGTCACCATCCCCCACGATTACCATTTTAACCAGTTTCAGCAACAGCTGCAAACTGCTAAGGGATTGCATTCACGAGAAACAAAGTACCATCTTTAGAAAATGGTTAGAATGAATGAATAAAATGGAGGCAGAAAACTAAGAACAGATTTTGTAGAATGGGGGAGACTTTGTAGGATACAGACCATATGGTCATAAATTACACTGGAAAAATATTCTAAAAGGAGGTTATGACCTTTAAATCTAGGTAAGTGTGCAATTGTTTCTTCACTAAGATACTACCATGGACCTTTTCCCTGCTATTGGCAGTATTTCAGTCTTCACATTGTCTGTCACCAGCTCTATGCCAAACTTAGCTTCTTCCATTTAGTGATCCTCTTTTCACTGGCCATTTCTCTTTGAACTTTGATCGGTGCCTCCATCCCCAGGAACACGGTATACCACATCCTAAGCAAAGGTACCCATATTTCTAGAAGTAACTCCCTGAAGGTTTACACTATAAAAATTTCCAAAGGACAATGTCCTATTCATGTTTTTCTCCTGTTTCTAGAATACATCAACACTTACACTTTCTATCTTGAAAAGCTGCAGTTAATTATCACATCTCTGGCCTTAAAGACAAAAGGAGAATGAATATGACTTCTGAAATGTGGGTTCTTTCACAAATAATGGTTTTGCTCAATGGATTTAACAAATTTTAAGTATTTTAAATTATCTTCCAAAGGTTGTGACATCATAGGATAGTTTTAAGTTCTACATAACAGGATGAATTACACAAATTCAAACTCGACCTCAATTTATCTATCTTTTACATAGACATAAATTTGTTACTCCATCTGTTATTATAAGCATTTAAATCATGTGAAGTTATCTCCACATGTGGTATCTGGTAAAAATTCAATAAATGCTGTATTTAATTGAAATACATATATGTATTCAAAACACACACACGCGCGCGCGCGCACACACACACACACACAAATTCAACAATAAAATAATGCCCAGGACTCGCTGTGTTTTGTGAGTATTCTTCCTATAAAACTGGTTTATTGACCATATCATAACAAGCACATACATGTCATTTCGCATGAACAAAATACAATGTTAAACATAGTTGGTACTCAGTAACTGGTAAATAAATTGCTGAAGGTGTTGGATTTTCACATCAATTAATTTGAACATGCATCACTGAATTAATAACTCAACATAATCCAATTAGTGAAATGTGCCATCACTAATTTTCCTAGCATTATGATTTGACAAAAGGTTATTTACTATTTTACAATTATAATTAACACTACATTGACTACCCTTAAGTTTACATGCATTGTTGAACACTTTCTATTATATCCTTATAGATAAATACCTCAAACTAAAATTGTTGGTCAAAATGTGCTGATTTTCATCTTATATATATTTTGTACTACCTTCCTGAAAGATTTTAACACATCAGGAGTTCCAAATTCTCCTCACTTTGTTAACACTTCTACCTGTTAATCTGATAGGTGAAAAGAGGCAAATAATTGTTTTGTTTCACATATTTTAAGTATTCATTTTAAATATATACAAATTTCATCATTTCATTATAATGACTGATAAGTTGAGCATACTTTCTATGCTCTTGGCCATTTGCAGTATTTTTAAGAATTGTTCATTTATGTGTTTTCCCAAATGATTTGAGTGAGCCTTTCAACACTAAATTTGTCATATGTTTTGAGGAAAATACATCCATTACTGCAATAAATTACCCAAACTTAATTTTAACTTAGCAGATTATTTATTCTTTTAATCTCATCTTTAATTCCTGCAAGGCAGACAGCATCAAGACTAAATTTGTAAAAACAATTTATTTGGACTAAAGATGGTATTCATTTGCTATGCATATTGTTGACACTATCAAGTTTTTACAAGCTGACTTAAAAGAATAGCTTTATCGTGTAGTAATGTTACTCTGATATGGTGAAACCAGTACAACTGTTCAGATGAAGTCAAAACAGGCTAAATTCATGGTCCAAGGAGGATGGATACCACCATGACCGCCGAGACCATATTGCTAAATGGGAAAAGAAGGGAGGCAAGATTTTGGAAACAAATTCCTTATACATGAAATTTGGAAGAAATAAGTTCAATTTTGAAATATAATTTATCAAGTATAACTCTTACAGCAAGAGGCTCATGTCATTTGAACCCTTCTCTGGTACTTGTTTTATACTGTTTAGGTGATGTTCATGGCGCGTGGTAGTCATTTGTATCACCCACAAATGGAATTTGGCAAAGAAGCTAAAAATTGTTTTATAAAAATGAAAATGTTGAAATAATACTCTAAATATTATTACCATGTGGCTGAGTTGATGTGATTGTTCAGGTTCCAGTTAACCTGATGCTCTGGTTTCGTGAAGGATAAATTCCAGCCCACAGGCTGCTTTTCTAAAATTTTATTGGGAGAAAGGCACAGCATACTCATTCAATTATATGGCGGCTTTCATAATACAACAGCAGAGTAGATTAGCTTCAACAAAGACCACAAGGCTTTCAGAACTGGAAATGTGTATGTGGTTCTTTACAGAAAAAGTTTGCCAATCCATGGTCTAGTTTAACACAGGTTGGGGAAATAATCCTACAGACTTGTAATTGAGCTCAAAAGTATATAAATACAAAAGACTGAAGTGGCAGACTCATCATACCTACTCTAAGTTTTCTCAGACCCAGGTGATGCAGAATGTCAGCACTATTTTGATTTTATTTTTCATATGTAAGCACAGTGTAACAAGGCCAGAGTGCCTGACAGACAAGGTCCCTGAGTTAGGGCATGTTCTCTTCCAGGTTTTCTTTCTATACTTCACCACCTCACAGATCACCATCACTACCGTCCATTCACATGGAGGGAACTCCTTTGGGTTTCCACTGCTATACCCTTCTGTCTCTTATGCCAAACAGCACAGATAGATTACAGGCGAATGACTGATAAAGACAGAGAGATAGATGATTGATAGACAAAAATGGACTGATAGATTATTTAATGATAAGACAAATTTAAATGTAAGCAGAATTGCGAGTTTGAAAACTACCAGTAACATTAGCCTTTAAGACAGCAATCAAGGTATTTCTCAGAATAGAACATTTACTGTTCCACATGGGCTTATTTCTTATATATAAAATAAATATGCTTGGTATGCCATTTCTGAATTTTTCTAAAGGCCATATAAAGACAGTAACCATGTTGCAGTGATGATATGCACTAAAAGAAGTGCAATCATGCCCCTTTCCTGCATGATTGTCATGGGAGTTTACATGTGGAAGTTACAAGAAATGTGAAAAAATATACCATCCAAATCAAATGGATAAAATTGGAAGATTAACATCATCTTCCTCAAATTCAGAAGTTGTAAGGTGCCTATATCCTATTTATATTCAATGAAAAATGGTATTTCAAGAGCTAGATCAATTCTATGTTAGAGGAACTCACTTCAAGGGTCTACAACACAGCACAATTCACAAAACATACGTCTATGTTTTGACCCAAATAATGTTTTCAATTAATTAAATAAAGTACCAGAGGTCACTACTCCCCTTTATATCTATGGACTGAAAACCTGACCTGTGGGAAAGAACACTTAGGTAAGTTAGCTACAGATACCAAGAAGAATTTCCTAGTTTTATTCATTTTTTTCTAGATTTTCACTGGCATGAATAAGTGCTTTGTGGAAAACATTTCCATCCCTTGAAGTGGTAAAAGCTGGCAATAATGTTGGGAATGAGGGTGGAGAAGAGCCCAAATTAATCACGAGGCATTTCCAATAATACCAAGGCAAACTAGAGCATAATGCTTAAAGAAATTGATGCTCTGTTTTGCATGAATGGAAAAAGATATTCATACAAAGAGATTATTCCCACACAAATACAAAACTCTTGGTAGGCAAAATGCAAAGCAAGTAGAGCTTAGAAATTATTAGTTTATAAGAACTGTGATGCTTAAAAACACAACCTATAGAAATCTCAACGTGTATACTTTTGATTAAAACAGTGAAAATCAGAGAAGATTCATATAGGATAGAGAGCTACACTATTTGGTTTGGGTACGTTAGAGTGCATGAATCAGTAAAACTAGCTAGCACATTCTCGTAAGTTGAAACTTTTCCCCATCAGGTCAGGTAAGACATACAAGTCTGGCTACTAGTAATAAAGGAGTACCTGCTACCAAACTAAGCCCCCAACGGATATCATCTGTAAACTCCAGAATGAATATAAAGACAGCTATCTACAACAATGGAGAACAACCAAAGCAAGTCAACACTGGAGGTGAGTGTACTCTTGGAGGAAAGGAATATCCCTGGTTAAGTTTCCAATGTCATGAAATTTTGCCTAAGGGCATCCTCAATAGCAGCTGGAAAGTGGGAGGAAATTCCCACAGAGTGGAAAATCAGACAGGGGAAGCCTGAATGAAATTCTGTGTATAAATTCTGCTGAAATCTTTGGTTGACCCGTAAACTGCCCATCATGTAGGCCAGACTCCAAATGGCACAAACAATGTGAAAAGAAAAGAACTGAACAGAGTGCAGGCTGCTTCCCAAAGCACATGGAGCAGGCTGCAGTGTGAATCCAGCCAGGTTAACTGCTTGCCTTAAAAATAAATAGATAAATGTATGACTACCCTTTATACTCATAGCTCTCAATGAGAAAGAGTGAGTAAGGATGGGTGATTTTGGCCCCAACACCATAAAAAACAGCACTTAAAAAGGGCTGAAGGCATTTTGGCAGGGGAGGTGAGAGGAGGAGAAGTTGTGCTACTCTTAAGTGGTAAGTGGAGACAAAGGGTAATACTCAGCACCCCACAATGCATATAGAACAGCACCCTCCCAAAACGCACACAACAAAAAGCAAAACACACACAACAATATAAACAAAATAACCCAGTTCAAAATGTCAATAGTGCTGAAACTGAGAAATATTGTTTTAGAGGAACAAAATAGAATACAGAGTTTCTACAATATATTCAAAGTTCCAGTTACAATCCAAAATAACTTGACATGCAATGAAAGAAAACTGTAACCCATACTTAAGACAAAGGGCAATAAAGCTAACCTGGAAGCAGACCTGAGGTTAAAATTCTGAAAAAGCATTATCATAATGTTGAAGAAAAATATGCTAATAGAAAATGGATAGCACATCAAATACAACATAATATTTAAAAAGAAAGAAAAATAACCAGATGCGGGGGGCATGTTGGCTCATGAGGCTGAGGCAGGAAGATTGCTTGAGCCTGGGAGTTCAAGAAGAGCTTGGGCAACAAGACTACCCCATCTCTACAAAAATAAAAACTAACAGAGTGAGATGGCACGTACCTGTAGTGCCAGCTACAGGTAGAACTACAGGAGTGGGTAGGCTAAGGTGAGGGGATCACTTGAGACCAGGAGGTCGCGGCTGCAGTGAACTATTATCATACCACTGCACTCCACCTTGTGTGACAGAGAAAGAGTCTGTCTTAAAAAAAAAAATCAATCAATCTCTGGAACTAAAAAATAAAAAAATTTACAGGATGGGCTTAAGAGCAGATTGGAAACAAGAGAACAGTGAGTTAACAAGGATGGGAACAAATAACTAGATTGTTCAAAGTGAAAAACACAAAAAATAAGATTTAAAAAGAATGTCAGGAATCCACCGAACAATATTAATAGGTCTAATACATATACATATGTAAAAATTGGAGTCCTGGGGAAAGAGCCTGAAAAGCTATATTTTAAATGGCTAAAATTCCCCCAAATTTAACATAAAACATGTACAGACTCAAGAAGCTCAACCAACCAAGAAATATAAAAAAAACACATACACACACACTGAGTCATATCATAATCAAAACTGTCTCAATACTTAGGAATATCTTAGGAGTCAGAGAAAAATGGCACGTTTACATAAAGAGAAAAATTACATAAAAATAAAGATTTAAATATCAATGGAGTCCAGAAAACAGTGGATTATCTTTGAAGCGCTAAAATAAAAACCCCACTAATTCTGTATTTAGTACATATTTCAATGAAGAGAACTTAAAAAAAAGACACAGTTGAATAAAAAATAATCACCATATACTAAAAGAAAAATTATTATTATCAGCAGTCCTGCTATACCAGAAGTGCTAAAGAAAAGTTCTTCAGGTAGATGGAAAGAAACTTGGATCTTCAGGAAAGAATGAACCAAATTTACATAAATGTAAGTGATTTGAAAAAAACGTTGGAATAAAGGTAAAATTCTGACTGACAGGAGGCTGACACCATCCTAGCCAACATGGTGGAAACACATCTCTACTAAAATACAAAAGAGAGGAAAAAAAAACCAAAAAAAAACCACGGGCACGGTGGTGCATGCCTGTAGTCCCAGCTACTCCAGAGGCTGAGGCAGGGGAATGGCTCGAACCTGGGAGGCAGAGGTCACAGTGAGCCGAGATCACGCCACTGCACTCTAGCCTGGTGATAACAGTGAGACTCTGTCTCAAAAATAAAAAAAAAATTCTGACTGAGAATCCAGATTTGAAACTAGTCATTCAGATTTCTCAAGCAGTGTCAAACAAAAGTAGTAGCAACTGACAAAGCAACTAGCCCTTTACTGCCATTGCTAAGACCTTATTTCCCTTGCATTCCCAATAAACCTGAAGATGCACTCAAAGTATCATCATCAGTGGTGACCCTCTTCCTTCTCTGCAGGGGTAAGAAGGGTCAGCAAAGAGGGAGCTGTGGCAAAGTGAGAATTACACAACATTCACATAGAACAGACACAGGAAAGCCCAAGAAAGAAAACCTTTTCTAATTTCCCAAATTCAGACATTTTTATGGTCCTTTCCTATCATTCATTTTAAAATAAATCACTATATTCTTAAAGAGTTCAAACATACATCTCTATACCTTATTAAGAAATGACTACATTTTATGTTCTTTTCAACATCGTCAAATATGGTAGATTCCCAAATTATACAAATATAGCAACAGGATATAGTAATATTAAATACATTAAATATAACATAGCAACATGTTACATATTATATCAAAAAGAATATAATACTGCGTGGCTATCAGAAAATCACATTTGCTATTATTTCTATATTCTCTAATTCATGACCCCTCACCCATTCCATCACAAATTTTATTCAACAAACTTTAACAAAACTCTTTGACATTTTATCAAAGGGCAATAGAAAGAAAAGATCCCTGTCAAGTAGGAGCTCATTATATTTATTTTGGGAAAATAACACATAATACAAAACATAAAGTGTGTTGTTAACAATATAAACACATTGCGAGAGCTTCAAGTGGGGAGCCTAGGAAACAGGTCTACATGCAGCTATTTACATTAAGGCATATTGATCAATCCTAGGATACTTCATGTCTGCCTTCCATGAATCAATGGTCTCAGTGCAAATGTACCATCTTAGCATGAATCTATTCAGATGTTCTCTCCAAACCTGCACTTCACTGTGATATTGGGTGACTGTGGGTAGGAATCCCATATATCCCTGAAGAGAACCATGAATCCACAAGATGGTTTAACAAGGCTTTGGTGGATATACTACTACTTCAAATTGAACAAACAGCAATACCTTTTCCAAAGTTTATAATGGCAGAAAAAGCGTCAAACTCATTCACAACAGCTGGTAAGAAGCCAGAAAGAAAGACTATATGCCTAATGTCTCAATATCCTTCTAGAAATCAACACTTTCTAACAACTTGGTTAGCTCCTTACTGATAAAGCATTTCTCTACAGGTTTTCACCTCCTCAGAATCTCCACTACTGTGCCTTGTGGACTTCCCGAACTTAGGAGTAGTGTGAAAGGTTCACAAACACTTTCTTCTTGTTTTCCTTATTGTCTCTCTCGGTCTCTTATTAAAACACATATGCTGTTCCCATCTGTTATTAATAGTAGACATTTCTTAAACAATCCTTGAATTCCAATAGTAAACAAATGAATTGGATCACAGAAATAAGTATTACTGTACAATAACATAAATACTGTCATTACAGAAACACTGAGTGGTCACCCTGAAGTCAGCTACATAGATTGTATTTATTCACTCGTGATTAAAAGTCATTAGACACTGACTATATTCTACCATTCTATCATTGGCCTGTCTACAGCCATTCTTCATGAAACCTTTTAAATAGAGCAGTATGTAATATGGAGAAAATGAATCCTACTTAAGAACTGACAACACACACAAAGAGCACTACTATGAAATATGTTGACTTTTCCCAGATTACAAAGTCCATCATGCATATGGCTTCCTCTTTGACTGTTTTCATTTCAGAAAACAGTGAAAAAGAGGACATTAATGGCACAGGCCATACAAGCAGGAAAGAAAGCAGGAGCTATATTCTATTACTCCACAACTATCAACGGGGATTTATAACCAACCCCCAAAAGACTTTCGCCACAGAAAGTCTAATATAGCAGATGCTGAGTTCATTAATAGTAGGATGTATACTTAATACAATTCAACTCAACATAGTCTACAGAATCTATGATTTCCTCAGACATGCCATTAACAGTCTCAAAAAGGTGTGGAGCAACTACCTCATACTGCATCTCTATAAATTCTTGTTTTACTCACACGTCAGGTGACGGGCTCATTCATCAGAATTTCACTCATCCATTTTAGACAACCCATTATTAAATTAAGTATCTGCTACATGCAAGGCTCTGTCAGGTCAAAGAAAGCTAAGTATTAAGAGGAAAATGTCCCTGTCAATAGGAGCTCATTATTTATAGTCTGTTAGACACAAAATGAACGAATAAAACGAAATTTGGTAAGTGAAAAGAGACATAAATTACTTTGGACAAACAATTTTCTACAGACCCATACCTAACCCATTAGTTACAGAATGACACTGTACAAGGATCCTGTCAGTACCTTCTTCAGATTACGCTGGAAAAGAACATCCTCCATAGTCGTACTTTCTCCCTGACATTAGTGATGGGTTTTTTTTTGGTTTCTGTTTTTTTTCTTTTTTTGAGATGGAGTTTTTCTCTTGTTGCCCAGGCTCGAGGGCAGTGGCATGATAGCTCACTGCAACCTCCGCCTCCCAGTTTCAAGGGATTGTCTTGCCTCAGCCTCTTGAATAGCTGGGATTACAGGTGCCCGCCACCCTGCTCACCTAATTTTTGTATTTTTAGTAAAGATGTTGTTTCACCACGTTGGCCAGGATGGTCTCAAACTCCTGCCCTCAGGTGATCTGCCCACCTTGGCCTCCCTAAGTGTGGGGATTACAGGGGTGAGCCACTGTGCCCGGCTTTGACTTTGGTGATGTTACTGTACTTTAAGTGTAGATTCAACACACCTTGCCTTTACCCTACAACTTTCTTTAAAAATTCTACCTTCCATACATACTATCTTGCTTACTCCCTTGATTCCTAGCACCATCCTTTTTTCATTCCTTTTCCTCTTACCCATCATCAGGTTGTTACTTTTTCTTTCAGCTGACCCCTTCATCCATTCCTTTCCTCAACAATCTTTGCTAAATGTCTGACACAGGCCAGAGTATCTGAAATGCAATCCTGCCTTAATGAATACTCTACCTTGGCAAATGAATACAAGTACAGATAGCGACACTACAAGTGGAAACTCCAATGGTAAAGCTACATTAAGGATTGCTGTTAGAAGACTGAAAGGATGTAATGAAAACATCAAGTATCTTGTACATACGTGGAATGATGAAGAGGATCTAAAATCCTGAAACTGGATTCACACATTCATTGATGAAAGCAACTCACAGATATCAGCATCTGTCTGTGCTGGGCTAACAGTGGTAACCTAATTATAGTAGAGACCATTAACTCAAAGGTTATTCTTTGACATGGCCTTTTCAATAATAACAGCACTACAATCAATGATATTCAATTTCCAGATTGAACTGTGTCTTTCATGGCATGAAAAAGCCACTGCCACCTCATTAATCTTTAATCTCATTCTTCATGTATCTTCAGGAACACTATAACCCTTTGGTTTTGACCTAGTGACTCCAGCCACAACCTCCTTTAACGCGTCTTCCTCATTTTCTCAATATCTAAATGCTAGAGCATCCAAAGCATGGTCTCAGACATGTCCTACTCCCAAATACATTCTATCTCTAGATCTCATTCTTTCCCATAGCCATTAAGTATTCTCTCTCCAAATTCCCCTCAGCTCAAGTTTCCTACTTAAACATAAAAATCTTAATCTGTGACTTTAATAAGGATCTAAAACTTGCAAAATGGATTTTTTTAAAAAACCAACCCTCCCTAGCAGTCATTGAGGTCTAAATGGTAAGAATTCTTGATTCAGTCCTCCTCTCACCTCATATGTAATCATTCAATACTTTATCAAGTAGAACTGGCAAGGATTTCAAAAGACACCGCCAAATCCCAGGACTTTGTAACAGCAGTGAACCTCAACAAATGTAAGGAAGAATAAAAGACTACAATCTTCTCCTTGTCTTTCCTTGGCCTATGTTTCTCTGCTCCCACTGGAAGACCTCTCTGTCTTTTCATATAGATCACCACACCTTATTCTTTCTTTCAGATTTTTCAGTTGATAAAACACACTGCTGGACTGTTCTGACAGGCCATGATATACAAACTCTTTCTTACAGTACAAGACACTAAATAATGCATATAAGCAAGAACACAGTTTTTTAAAATCATCACTGATTCAGGTAAAAGTCATCTGTGAGTACTAAAACTACTATGTGAAAGTTGAATGAAAAATGAAATATCAGTTCAGTTACAAATTAATTACAAAGGACTGTTAACTGAAGTAGAAAACTCCAGTGGACACCAACTGAACCAAGAGACCAAAGTGGTTCAAAGTGGACAAAGTGACATTTGTCACCTGATATGATTCACTGAAGAACACTGAAAATACTTAAGTATTTATGCCCAGAATGAGTATCTTAAAACTTTTCATGACGAAACACAAAATTCAAAATCTGAGGTACCTCCTTAAAAACTATTAACTATTACTTTTTAAGAACACTGATGTGATCAAAGTCTGGCAAGCTGTTTCAGATTAAACAAGTCTAAAGAGACATGACACCTGAATGCAACAACAGGTCCTTTTCGGGATACTGTAGAAGGGGAAAAACTGCTATAAAGAACATCTCTGGAAAAAATGAGTAAAATGTGAATATGGACTGTATACTGTTATACCTTCATACTAGTAAGACATTTCATGAATTACCAAAGTCAATATAAGATGCTCAGGCTCTTAGAAAGTAAATGCTGAAGTGTTTTGGGTTAAAGGAAGATAATGTCGGCAACTCACTCACAAATAGTTCATAAAATGATAATGCTATGTATAAACATGTGGAGGGAGGAGAGAGCCAGAAGAATTATTAGGAGAAAACACAACAACTCAGAATAAAAAGCCAATCTGGGTGAAGTGTACATCAGGTTGCTCCATGTGATTCTTGTAACTCTGAATCTAAAATTATTTCAACAAGACAAAGTCAGGAAAATGCTGGTATATGGTATGCATAGGGAGTTTATGAACCTCCAAGAAGCACTGAATTTAGAAAATACTAACAATTTCTAGCTTGGGTAAATGAGATTTGCGGGGGGAGCAGAGAAAAAATGGAGTACTACCTTATCTTACAAATTATGCCTCACTATTTGCTTCTCCTTTACCCATGGCCATTAACTTTTAAAATTAGACTTACATCAAAATACCATTTTCACCTATTAGATTAGCTAAAAACTTAAATAAGTCTTTTCTTTTGAGATCGAGTTTCGCTCTTGTTGCCCAGGATGGAGTGCAATGGCATAATCTCAGCTCACTGCAACCTGTAACTCCTGGGTTTAAGTGATTCTCCTGCTTCAGCCTCCCAAGTAGCTGGGATTACAGGCATACACCACCACGCCCAGTTAATTTTTTTGTATATAGAGGAGATGGGGTTTCACCATATTGGTCAGGATGGTCTGGAACTCCCGATCTCAGGTGACCCAGCCTCCTTCGCCTCCCAAAGCATTGGGATTATAGGCGTGAGGTACTGCGCCCAGCCTAAGGAATTCTTAATACCCATTGTACACAAGTTTTTATGAAAATTGTCATTTCCATTATAACACTGCTCTGTGATAGCAGAGGACACCACTTTTAAGAGCAGTTTCATAGCATCTAACTGAAACAAAAGTGATGACCCAACAATGTAACACCTAGACAGCTATCCTGTACAAGTAGTATACTTTAATGCAACATTATATGTGTCAACAAAACAAATAAACAAAAAATTAACCTGCTTTCCCAAAACAGAGAAATGGATTCACCCACTGTAATACATACTTTACATCAAATAAAAAATCTGTGGGTAAGCTATATTTGATTTGGAAACATGTCCATGCTATATTAAAGAAACTTGAAATTTACAAAATAACATCATAATAATCACATATTTGGAAATGAATTCCACGTAAAGTTATATAAGTTTAGAAAAGTTACTAATAACTATACTACAAATGGCTAACTCTTATCAAATCTAGGAAGTAGGATTGGAAGATGGTAGATAAACAGCTTGCTTTATATTACTGAGTGACTTACTCATTCTTGATGGCCCTGTTTCAATAAACTTGGTGCCAAGCCTAAGCGAAAAGGAGATATGAAAGAATAAAAACACAAAACCCTCAGCCTGGCTTTAAGAGCCAAGAATTCAAAGGCTTAAAGTAGACTCTGCCCCATGTTTTAATTTAACTTCATATGTTGAGTATTCAGAAAAATGACATGGGATAGAATACATTTTCCTGCTTCTGCTTTACATGTGTATCCACATTACCCAGGATCAAAATAAACTTCTGCTATAAGCCAGAGGTTAGAAAACTGCATCCCATGGACCAAATCTGGTCTAACAAGTTTTTGTAAATAAGTTTTTCTAAAACACAGCCATATCCATTTGTTTATGAATTGGTTATAGTTGATTTCACATTATAATGGCGATTTTGAGTAGTTGCAACAGTATGGGGATTATACAGTCTGCTCTTTTTTTCACAAAGTTTGCTGACCTCTGTATATTGTTATACAGACTATAAAACTTTGTATCGTGTTTCATATAATGTAAAGGTGTCTGATTAGGACACTGATCTTCTTACATCCAGAACAGCATTATGAACTTGAAAAATATTAACACAAGAAATATTATGGTAAGTTAGCTTTGGAAGTACAAAAGCATCTTCTGTGCAAGTAAAATACATGAGTATTGCAAAAAGGAACTCAAGTTCTACCTCAAGATCTAGCTGGCAATGAACAAAATAATATAGTACGGTTTTGGCATACTTGTACTTTGGCATACAAAATAATATAATATGATTTTGGTGTACAATGATGGCTGTACACATGAGATTTTTAAACCGTTAAATCTTCTGTTGGTAGGATTAACTGACATCAATGGGATTGATTATATAGTCTTAAAATTCTAGCAATTGTTTGTTATTTCTTACTCTGGTCTAGAGAGGTAATATTATTGGATGCCTCCCTTGTATAAACCTGTTGAGACAGGTTTGGCAATACAGTGAGCAGTTCCCCAATGGATAGCACAGCGTATGTTACAGAGGTAGACAATTACAACACCAAATAAACACTATTTACCTTAAGCCCACTTAGGTTAAGCAGAAGCAAAGGAAAACCACGGTAATGTGGATAAAAAGAAAATCTCTTTGGTACAGTGAGATTTTTATTCCAACCCCAAACAATACTGGTAATACCAAGAAAATGATTGTACCACGTTCTAAAAGATGGTATCACAATGGCTCAAAATGGCAGTGTAAGGATCTCCCTCTCCATTACACTCCCAGTTGTTATGTCATCCAAGTTTGTGTACTTGGTAAGAGGTGAACTACAGTCAATCTCACATCTTGATCGAGAATGAGATATACTAGGTCTAACAAAAAGGATACTATGGAAGATCTAGTCCAGATAATGTTTAAAATCTCATTTAAGACTTGTCCAAAAACTGTGGGCTCCTGATTCAAATGAGGAAAAAAGTATCTTACAAATGCGGGGGGGGGGAATCACTGGCACACCAAGGCCCTCTGCTTCTGAGAAAGACTTGCTATCATCTGGACAATGATTAACGTGTCCATGGGGTTGAATTAATTATACTACCATATACAAACCTTACTTCCATTCATAAAGTAAAATATAAATTTAAAAAACACAATGAAATACAATGAGTTAATATACAAAAACAGAGGGAAACATGAAATATGAGAGCACAGAGAAGTACATAACAACATTCCAGGCAATTACTTGCCAAAAAGCAGGTCACTTCTATTCCTGGACGTACTTTTAAAAGTTGTGCCCCTTGAGAAGCAAAGATGCAAGAAGATCCCATAAAGAAGCAATAACAACAGCATTGGGGTGATGCTGTAGATAGAACCATTTGTCTATAATCCTATTATCCACATGGTCACCACCTGAGAGTACAAAAGAAGAGATTGCAAATGCAAAGAAACAACAAGTTATGACACAGCCATGTCTAGTGAAAAAAAATATCATCTTCAAGTCAAGTAATGCTCTATAAAACTAAACTCCTACAATCTGATGTGGAATAATCCAAACCCTCCAAATCCAGGTATATTTACTGTATGCAAATGACAAAGCTGCCATTTTCCTTCCTTCCTCTGGACACTTTTTTCTTGTGATTTAAATACCTAACGCCTATTCCAAATTATTTTCATCCGAACCAACCACCTATTCATTCTCTGAACCAGCATTTCCTGTGTAGTTTCTTTATTCTGATTTATACACCAGTTGAGGGGTTAAGAATTTTTTTAAAATACAGAATATAAGGAAATATGAATGAGATACTCCATGTATTCCACAGTACTGTATTAAGATCTTTCAATAAACCAACTCCCATTATCCACACATCAATTCTCCTTGCTTTCCTGTATGCTTCTTGTGCAATTTCTAGTGGTACCAACATCAAGAAAATGCCTGATTTTGTCAAATGTTGCTTATTAGCAAGTTTACAATACAGTCTTTAATTAAAATATCAACTCAATCACATAACCACAAAATAGGTTTTCTGAAAAATTTAATTTCAAATAACTCAAGAATCTAATATATCATCAACATAGCAAAGAGAACAGTTTCAAAATCAGAATATAGTTCTTAATGATTTTACCTGCAAGAAAGGTCTTTGTCCTCCTTGATTATGAAAGATGCTTGTAAAAAAAAAACAGGAATGTTGGAAAATATTTGCAGATTTCTCATTCACTCATCAAATAAAAGGGTAAGACACTACCTTAGCCACTTCAATGCTGAAATACCTCTTAACTCCTATTGGCACGCCTTACCTACTCACTGATGATATCCTAAATCATGCATTTGAAACTACAACTAAACCTGATGCTCTACTCTCATTATAACCCATAATATTTACAGCAAATTCTGATTCCCAAGGACTCATCTTTTAATAGCTCATCCGTTTTCCTTATACTCCCACTAGCTGTCAGATTCCCTTATCTCCCTCTAGCTGATGAATTTATTCCAAAGCATTTATTCAGCAAAATTTACTGAGATAATATAACATTTACTGAGTATATGGATAAAAAGTTAAAGTCTCAGTCCAGATAACATCACATACTATGTTGAGAGCAGGTAAGCGTACTAAATCAAAACCTGCATATACTGCATGTCAAAACTGCAACAAAATTTAAGAGCCCTTTTATCTCTTATTTCACCTGATAATCATTCCACAAATTCACAACCTTGTGTTTTATGGAATTCATGTGTGGTTTTGGATTTTAAAATATTACAAATTAGATTCCTATCAAACTGGTCAAATATAAACAGACCAGGGTTACTGATTCTTACCAGCACTTTTGAAGAATGAAGTCTACAAAAACAGTAAACAAGCACAATCATTTGGATTGATATGCAAATTTCAGTCAGTGAAGAAGTTCTCACTTCTTTAACTGGTACCACCTCAGCTATAACTGTGAAAAATATGGGAAAATTGTGACATATGACCAGTTAATGTACAGAAGGTAAAGTTCTCTCATTCCTGAACCTCCAAAAGTCCCCAAATTATTAAAATGTTGAAAGATCATTGATTAAAATAATTTGTGAACTCACTGTGGTTTCTGCTTATTTACTACCATGTTAAGAATGCAAAAACAAATCTTTTATAATTTTCTAATAAATTTGCCCATGAAAATACACCATCATCTTTCAAATGTCCATCTTTCTCATCAACTTTACATATATGACTCTATTATTTCATCAGCCCATTGTCATAGCCATCAAATTCCTGCACCATCGCCTTGTGAATCAACCTATTAAGCCACTCCAAAACCATCAAACATGCAGCTACCACACCCACGCAATGTATCCATATCTTGATCCCTACATTTATTGAAGATTCTAGCTAACCATACTTGTATTCATCAATCTGAAGATTTATGTATATACCATTCCATTTTCAATCCATGCCAATTCTAACACCTAGGCATATAACCATCTGCACCTTCACTAAAGGATTCCACTGTTGCAGATATCCATATTTACAACCAATGGTTTTTAAAACTTGCATTCTCCGTTCTTGCATCCAGCCATCTGCTCATATTCTACCTTCCATCCATTTCTTATTTAATACACCCAATTTTGCATGCATCCATTATTGTATCTGAAATTGTATTAGAAGATTATTTTATTTGTCCTTCTGGGCTTTAGTCTAAATCACCAGTCCCACATAATTTCATCCACTAGTTATTAAATCCACATAATCAGATAATAGAAAGAAAATTTCACTAAGATCGGGAACAATGGCTCACGCCTGTAATCCCAGCACTCTGGGAGGCTGAGGTGGGTGGATCGTCTGAGGTCAGGAGCTTGAGACTCACCTGGCCAATCCTATCTCAACTGAAAAACAAAAATTAGCTAGACATGGTGGTGCACGCATCTAATCCTATACTCGGGAGACTGAGGCAGGAGAATCACTTAAACTTGGGAGGCGGAAGAGAGGCCTGGCCTACTCCTCAGGAGTTTACCATCTTGACCAAATACTTCAGGAGCTACCTCAAGTCCTTCTGAAGAAAGTAACAGGAAGAGAAGAGACTGGGATATATTTAGAACTGATGCTCCTCTCACAGAGAAAGCTTCTTCACTCACTATTCCAAATATTTTAAAATACTATCTTCATATACAAGGAACTTTATCAAGAACGTCTGTTCTTCCTAAGATATTGCAAAATCCCTTTCATTGTTTTACTTATAACTTATTCCACAATGAAGAACCATGTATTCCACAACTCATTAGCTCATGCATCATCCCATTATGACAAAGTTCTGTTGAAACCCCAGTACAATTTCAGTTACCAGCCAGGGCATCATAAACAAACATGGTTGTTACAGGGATGCCAACACTATATTGCTATTTTTACTTCCTATAGCCTACCTCTCCCCTATTCATAAATCATATCCAGGAAATTATCTCATAGTGGTATACAAACATCCATCAATCCTTCTTACTGCTATATGTCGTTAGGAGATGCATTATGGATTTGCACAGATGATAGACATTTACAAAATATCAAATTCCTACGCAAATGTTTTATATTTTATGCAATGAGCAGCAACATTGGATTTTCCCTATGTGTTCCTGAAAAAATGCTGTCAAACTTCTGAACCTTTGCTAATCTAATAGTACAGAAATTAATTATATCTTAGTTGTATTTTTCAACTGTCATTATTCTTATAAGCAAATCTAAGAATCACTTTATACGGTTAACAACACTGAACTATGTGTTCATGTCACTATTCCTATGAACTGGTAGTTTCCCCCCCCCAAATGTGGGAAACTTGACTGCATAATTTCTGGTAGTTGGGGACTGCATTCTATTAACTGGTATTTTTAATTATATATCTTAAACATACCAAAGGTTTTAGTCTTCTTAAGTGATGTCACAACTTTTTCAACTTTGTCATTTCATTCTTACTTTACTTGTTACATTAATAAAACTATCAGTCTTTGTGTTTCTTCTTGCTTCTACAATTTTATCATCAGTAATACCATCAAAATTAGACATATTCGTTTTCTGAATTTCTGTAATTCTGTAATGTCTGTAGTAATTAATTTTAAATTCTTCATGCTGTTACAGACCATGAGAGATGAATATAGTTCCTTATCCATTTGGGTAACAATTTCCCCCATGATCGCAGATAACTTTATTACACTTTCTATTTCTCATGTAATTGGATCAACTTACAGGTCTTCTGTTCCAGGACATTAGAAGTCTGTGATACCTAATCAAGTCACCTTCTCAATTCCCAATCTTTACAAAGTCTTCCTATTTTTTGCTCACAACAAGTGACAATCAAAATGTCTAGCTGTAGATCAAATTATAAATTGACTAATATAGAATGAACAAAATATTTCTGTACCATCTAGGTTGTCCCTGTGGAACTAGAACGCCCCGGAATATGTATACACTCCCACAAATAAGTATATTGAACACAAAAAACAAGACATTTATTTAAGACCCTGGGCTATCATCAGCTTCTTCAATAATACTTCAATCTCTCATGTTAAAGTGAAAGTGTGGCTTTAAAGATTACCAGACAAATAAACAACAGACATGGCACACAGAGGAGAAAAAAACATAGAAATGGCATTGTTATTACTCACCTCAAAAATGATTATCAATGAATACTACTACGAACATGCTTGCAGATTTCTTAGTTGCTCACTGTTCGTGCATGTTATATAGTCACTACCTCATGAAAACTGAGAAGTGATACACAGTTCCAGCTCAGAATCTTTACCCTTTACACACACACACACACACACGCACACGCACACACACACACACACACACAGTGCAGATGGGTAAAAGATGAAAGGAAAACACTTTTTAACAATTTTTAGTTAAAACTAAAATAGTTTTAGTGCCAAGCAACCAGTTATTGCAAAGTATTTTTAGTAGAGATGCGGTTTCTCCATGTTGGTCATGTAGAGAAATTAATTATATCTTAGTACAGAAATTAATTATATCTTAGTTGTATTTTCAATTGTCATGATTCTTATCAGCAAATCTAAGAACCCTTTTACATGGCTAAGTACTTTATGTATATTGGTATATACTTGGTATGTGTAAGATATATAATTATAGATAACTTGGTGATTTTTTATGTTTTCGCTTCAAAAATGGTTGTAAATATTTTTAAATTTTCCAATTTTCATGAATGTGTTATTTTTGGCATTTTTATTTGAAGGCTGCATTCCTTCGACATGTACCATCTCATTATCTTTTTAAATATTTGTAATTAACGTAACAGTCAATATTATTTGAATTTTTAAACTTAATGCCTTAGCTGTATATTTAGTTTATATACCTTTTTTTATGGCTTTTTAAGCCCCCTATGAGTTTTATTAATGTAACATTAAGTGCAGTAAAAATAAAATGACAAATATGAAAAAGTTGTGACATCACAAAAGACGACTGAAATCTTTGGTATGTGTAAGATACATAATTAAAGATAACGTGATGTTTTACATTTTAACTTAAAAATGGCTGTAATTATTTTTAAATTTTCCAATTTTCATGAATGTGTTATTTTTGGCATTTTTAAGGCTGAATTCCTTTGACATGTACCACCTCATTATCTTTTTAAATATTTGTAATTAACAATTGATTTTAATTGATTTTTAAAATTTAATGCTTTAGCTGTACGTTCAGTCTATATATCTTTGTTTACGGCTTTTTAAGCCCCCTATGAAATAAGAGATTAAACAACCATGATCTAAGGGAACTGCAATTAACAGTTCAATTGCCAAGTGTACTTTCTACTTTCATATAACCTAGAAGTACTTACTAATGTACTTTATCAAGATAATTAAAATGACAAATTGCTAAACAAAGTCCTAATTTTAGAAATTCAGTGAAAGACTTCTAAAGACATACAAAAAACGTTTTCACATATCAATTAGGTAAGCTGAATAAGTGATCCAAATCACTCAATTAACAAATACTTAAAAAATGTCTAGTATTTAAAAAATACTTAAAAAAAAAACTGCACTAGCTATATCCCCAAATTATTATTCCATTAAAAATAGAAAGACCTACCTTGCAGTTGGATAGAAGACTCAATTTTAAAGACATCTATTCTTTCCTAATTAATCTATTAAATTTGCTGCAAATGAAATACTGCATTTTTTTTCCAACTTGCAAAAATAATTGTAAGCATCAAAGGACAGAAAAAAATGCAAGTATAGACAGATAATATTCTGGAAAAGAAGAGAAATGAAAGCTCAATGGAATAGATGAGACAGTATAAATCATAAGCAATTATTAAAGTGTCAATAAGATGGTAAGTAAGGCAAGTTAACAGAAATGTAGCCAATTGTTACGTGGAAATTTTCTTCATGATTATGGTAGAGCTTCAGAGACAACTACACCAGTCAAAGTGAGTATTTAATGCACTCATTAACACCAGAACGATGACTAATGGAGAAAGAAATGACAAAATAACTGATGAAACAGAAAGCAATACAAATAAATGATACTAACTTAAACATGTTAAAAAAATCCCCACAAAACTCCAAAGCCATAAAACAAGATTATATTTCATATTTCAATATACGACTTCTGTGTAACCAAAAAATAAACCACCACAGTAAAATGAATGAGAAAAACATACTTGCAATTCTAGACAAAAAATTAACATCGTTAATCATAAATGAACTCTTTAGATATGAGTACAAAGAGACCAGACTAACATTACAAGAGAAGTGAAAATAAAAGTAACAGAGGAAAATGGAATAGCACAAATGAGTTAAAAGCTATGATGATACAGTTAACAAAACAGCTGAGAAAATAATATCATTATAAATTACATTATCGATCCTTACAAATATTATCTGCTGCTTGTACAGCTTTAGGAAATGAAGAATTTGCAAATACTGGGGAAACTTACTCTAGTCATGGTAAGTTTACTCAAAAATATAGATTTTTGCATAAACTTGGCCCCAGAAATTCCAAATCATAGGAATAAGTCCAACTAAGTAGTTAGATAATACACACCCACACACATACATATACATGTTTACTACATCGAAAATGTGTAAGTAATATATCACCGCCAAAACACCGCTTATGCATCAACTAGTTTATAAAATAATAGACTGGGGGGTAGAAACAGACAAAAAGCATTTAAGTAAAAATACTGTATTTCACACAATTACTATGTCCTGTAAATTTAATAATTCAGTTTTATATTTACCCTGTGATTAGTGAAAATTACGCACTTCATATTTATGAAAGCACAGAGTTCAGCCTTTTTAATTCCACTATGCTGCTTTCTTTGTTCAATAATGTCTGTCATTCCAGCTCCTGAGATACGGTCCAACAGCAACCATGAACATATTCATCGTGCCTACTTAAAATTCACTTCAATGATAACTCTATCGGACTCTTTCCAAAAATGAGTTTTCTCTATTTTTTAGATCTGCAAAGGAGTGTCCACTGAAACAATCATGAAGAGTGTCTCCAAACATCATAAAAAGAATTTTTTATTTTGGTGAAGATGATGGTACAAATAGTGGAACAGCTCCCCTTTTTCAGTCATCACCTGAGAGAACAGTTGGGAAAATGAGAAAAGATTAGAAGCGAACTTTAGGTCATCAGTAAGAACTAATAAAATCTGTCTGTAAAATGATATGCAACAGCCATTCTATTTGAAGAAAGAACAGGTGGACAAAAATTCCTTTTGGAGTATTCTAATAATAAAGGAGGTCAGATTGAGCTCTCTTTCCTTCTTCTTCTTTTTTTTTTTTTTTTTTGTTCTAAAAGATCTAACTTGAAATGGTCCTGTCTATATTGGGTAGTCTCTGAAACAGTTACAGAGGTAGGAAATGCAGAGGCTAAGTTTTAGCTTTTTTTCTTTTGTTGTTTTTCCTGAGATGGAGTTTCAGTCTTGCTGCCCAGGCTGGAGTGCAATGGCATGATCTCAGCTCAACGCAATCTCTGACTCCCAGGTTCAAGCAATTCTTCTGCCTCAGCCTCCTAAGTAGCTGGGATTACAGGCATGAACTACCATGCCTGGCTACTTTTGTATTTTTAGTAAAGCTGGGGTTTCACTATGTTGGTCAGGCTGGTCTTGAACTCCTCCTCATGACCCACCCACCTGGACTTTGCACTGGAATTACAGTCATGAGCCACCATGCTTGGCCTCTTTCCTTCCTATGTCTTGTGAAAAACTGACCTGTCCAACATTATCCACATGATGTCTTTGTATTTGGATTCCTTTTACCTCTAGGTCACTTGCTGACATACAAAATTATTACATGCAGTATACGTGCATTTCTGCACAATAAACATTGATAGCAGTGCCTAAATATTCAAATGATAATAACAAAAAGAATTCAGCCTATTTGATGAGAAAGAAATAGTAACTATACTAAAAAACACAGAGGTTACAATGAGACTTTGGAGAAGATACAATTCCTAAACTGTCCTGGGCATAATCAGAGCAACGAAATCCATGGACATCATAGTATTGTTTTATGCACCTGTTTCAAGAAGTTTCTTACATAGCAACATGTTACCCAAATCAGATCTGAATGTCAACTAACTGCTACACAAAATCATCAAGCTTATGAAAAACAGGATATATCAAGTCCTGTCTAGGCAAACTGCCCCTCTCCCAATCAAGTTAGCACTCAACTGCCCTTACAATCACATTGCTGAAGGAATGAAGAATGCTTCAATGAAAGCACTGCAACAGGTCATTCACTGATGGTAGGTATCATTCTTGAGATTAAAAACAAAGATGATAAAATATTCCTTCTTGAAACTACCATCTCCTGACAAGGAAAAAGAAGAAACACTGTAAGGTGAGATATATACCACTCTAATGAAACAGCTAAGGTGGCAGGTTAAGTGAATGCTCATGTTGAATTTTATTACAGGTTAACATTTAGAAATACTTCCTCATTATCAATCCTATAGCAAAGTCGACTCTACAACATCAGTAATGAATTTGATAATTTTCAGTAGCAGCATCTTTTCATGATTTCCACGAACTTCACCCTTTATTGTATCAAAGGACTGTATGTGAAAACATTTTGTGAAAACTCTGCATTTCTGAAAATACACATATCGTCAATTTTATAATTTCCAGTATTTGACACCTGGTCATTTCCATTATTAGTTATACTGTCGTATTTGACCATAAATCAGTAAACTAATTAAAGGTATTCTCACTATGTATTTGTGTCTGTGTCTCTGCACGCACCTGTGGCAGGACAGGTCTCCATAACAACTGTTTCTTAAGTTAAATACTAAAAGCTGAGTCATTTCCCTTACATAAAGGCTGGAATGTCACAAAGACCCACCAAATTTTGAGTAGGCCTTTCTTGAACCTTAAAGCATGATTAAACAAGTTTTATTGGGGGTCTGAAGAAACTTTCCAGGCCTCCACAAACAAGTTTATTGGGGGTCTGAAGGAACTCCCCAAACCTCCATGATTTAGTAGGAGACAAGATAAGGGTAATCACCTCAGCACTTGGACCCACCTAGATTACGTAAATTTACTGAGGCTCCAGAGGAAGGTCTCCAAGACTCAGACCTTAGTTATAAATTACTTATGTCTTCAGATGAATACACATTTACACAGACATAGAGCTTAGAAGGTATATAAGCTCTGGAAAACTTCGTAATTTTGAGTTGGTGTGGCAACCATTTCCAGGTCTTCTTCCTATAACCAGCTGCAGAAATAAAAAGTCTCTTCCTCCCCAGTTCATCTGCATCTTGTTATTGGGCCATGAGAAATAGCAGCCTGACTCTCACTTTGGTCTGGCAACCAATCTATACCTACACTTGAATAAAATGTATTTTAAAGACTAACGCATTTGATAATTCCAAGGTGCCCCCAAAACACCCCTGTACCAGTATTATTTTCCTGAGCTCAGGCAAAACCTCATCACCAAATAGTACCAGAATCTTCTTACCTATGTTTTCAGTTAACTTGTAAATTAAGGGACTCCATGAGAAAGGGATGTTCCTGAATACTCGCAGGTTAGCTGCAAATAAGTCTTTCATTCATCCTGATTACCTAAGAAAAACAATATCCAAAACGGAAACATTTAGATACAAATCAGGCACCAGAACATAGCCTTAGGATAATTATAGGCTAGCCAGGCATAGTGAATAGAGAAAATCAAGTACACCAGCAACCATTTCACTTTCTCACTAACTTTAAAACCACAGCTTTTAGAAAAATTCTTACAATATTTAAAATTTATCCCTGCTAATTTTGAATTACCTATAAATCTCCAAAGGCCTACTCAACCACTTTAAAAGGGAGGAAGCAATCTTTTTTCAGTTTATACTAAGATAATGAAGGATAACTTCCACCTCATCCCTAGAGATACAACCTCCAACATCTTGATCTAGTCAGTACACACAAATACAGCATTGCCACTATGAAAATTTAGTCTCCTTATAGAATGTTTCAGTTAGTATCTCCTTTCAGTCACTTGCTTCTCACCCCAAATTTTACTATTTTACACCTACCTCAAATTCCATCTTCCACAAGATCCTCAGCTAAAATATTGAGTGGAGAAATTCTACATAAGAGGTCTCCTCCCATTGGTTTCAACCCATGTTTAATCTCTACCGATTGTTGTTCTGCTTCTTTCCTTTGGTAATCCAATACTCTGTTTCATGGTAGTAGCTGCATTACTATCTAAATCACATGCTCTTTGTGAGATCAATCAAAAACTGTTCATAACGGCTGTTGGGAATAAGAAGTTGAATACTACAGACCACTGTTCCTAGGATGTTGAATGTCAAGGATACAGACAGGCACAAACTGGTTGTCTCTCTAAAATTTACTGTTGTTTAAATGTCCATTTTGAAATATCTTTTGAAAATTTCAGGTACAAAAAGTTGAAGTAGTCCTTCTATTCTCCCTTCTCCACAGAGGACTGTTAAAACTCTGTCATGTCCTTCCAAACAATTTTCATATTATTTTCTAGATTTTTGTCATGTAGCAATATATAAATACATCCATATACAATTTTTTGATTTTAAACTCGTGTTACAATTTCAAAGCATATTTAACTAATCACCATTATCACAACACATATTAAATGTCAGAATGACAAGCTGCAAGTGTAATTCATTACTTTTATAATTAACCTTTAATATTTCAGCTATAAAAACTAGAAACATATGCAAAGACCTCTGTAAACAACTAGTTGTTCACTGAAACATGACATAAAATACCAGTTTAGCAGTACAAAACATATTCCATATAGAAATTGTTTAGTGTTAGAATTACATTCATATTAAAGAAGCTACAATAACTGCACTCTTTCATTATTGACAGGTATCTCAGATATTTATGATTTTATAGATAACCTATAACATATTTAGTAAATTTTTGAGAACTGGAATAGATAAAATCCCAGTAGCCAGCTATAACACTTCAGAACTTTTACAAATTATCAATTTGTCATTGCCAAATGTCTGCTTAAAAAGACACAAAAAAGTATACTTTTGATATATCCAATATTCTATCTAATACTGGATAGAACCTTTATAAAAATTTTCTAATTTACATTGTAAACTTGAAATCTATGATTATCATATCTGATAGTTTTTAAAAGCTATCACAAAAATAAAAAATATTCATAACCAGTTTTTTCAAACTCATGTAAATATGGAAAGAGATTAGAAAATGGTTATAGACCTACTTACTATTTAATGAAAAATCAGCATACATTTAGATGTAACGTTTAAGTGGAATGCTAGAAATATCTGCAAGCTTAGAAATAGAACAATAGTTCCATAGTTTGTTTTTTGATATGGCGTTTTGCTCTTGTTGCCTGGCCTGGAGTGCAATGGCATGATCTCAGCTGGCTGGAACCTGCGCGCGCCCCCCCCCCCCACCACCCCGGGGTTCAAGCGATTCTCCTGTCTCAGCTTCCCAAGTAGCTGGGATTACAGGGGCCCCTCACCATGCCCGGCTAATTTTTGTAATTTTAGTAGAGATGGGGTTTCACCATGTTAGCCAGGCTGATCTCAAATTACTGGCCTCAGGTGATCCACCCACCTTAGCAGCCTCCCACAGTGCTGGTATTATAGGCGTGAGCTGCCACACCCAGCCACTAGCTCCAGAATTTTTTTTTTCTTTTGAGACAGAGTCTCATTCTGTCGCCAGGCTGAAGTGCAGCGGTGCAATCTTGGCTCACTGCAACCTCTGCCTTCCAGGTTCAAGTGATTCTCCTGTCTCAGCCTCCTGATTTAGCTGAGTGGATGCCACCATGCCCAGCTGCTTTTTGCATTTTTTAGTAGAGATGGGGTTTCACCATGTTGGACCGGCTGGTCTCCTGACCTTGTGATCTGCCCGCCTCAGCCTCCCAAAGTGCTGCAATTATAGGCATGAGCCACTACACCCGGCAGTTCCACAATTTTTTAAATGAAAGCACTGTGTAAATGAGTGAAAGATTAATACCGTTGAGATATATCAGATCTATGCCACTAAATTTGGATGTGCATGTGTATATTTATGATATATATGGATATGAATTCAAATAAATTTACAAGGAGTACAAATAACAAAAGAACAATTATTTAAATAATTTTCTAACACTCAATACATCTATTTAATTTACAATGACCATTCTCTTCTCAAGTCTTCCTCTATCTTTCTAAAGATGAAATATCCAGGGGGTTTTGTTTCTTTGTTAGCACATACAAAAAATCAATGGTTATTTTTCTTATACAAGAGACTCTAACATTCAAAAGATATGGAGGCAATCTACTATTCCCTCTCAAAACGCACAAACACCAAAATGTTACACAGTAAATCCCAAGAGGGCCAATTATTGATTATCTATTGTACTACTGAAAACGCGAAGGAGTTGATTATGATACTTTACAATGAAATATTTATAAATTTATACTTTGTTGAGACTCCATGCGTCTAGCAAACCTAGATCTTTAGAAAATGACATTTGTATGTTATTTTGTCTGTCATGCAGTCCAACTAAATACAAAACTGTTATTCAAAGAGGTAGAATTTTTCCTTATAAAAGACATTTCCTACACTGACAATAAAAGTCTATTTATATAATGCCCTATCAACAATATCCCTACAAAATTAAGACTGAAGTTTTAAAAATATAATAGAAGCACTAAACGATGGTTAAAGTATCTTTTCTGATTACAATTCAAAGTTGAAAATACGCACTTTTAACTTTTTCCTTAAACTAACAACCCAATAGATACCAAAATATGTCAGGAAACCCAAAATGTTATCAGGTTCATTGCCAAGACATTTGCAAAACACAATGAAACCATGAAATTTTACAATGAGTTATTTACAAAATTGTACTTTGTGAGACCCTACACATCTAAAAAGACTAGATGTTAAATTTTTTATCTAGTATTTACAAAGTTGTCTTGAATATTGTCATGCAACCATGGGAACACATACAGAATTTTGTATAGTTCCTAGAGGTAGTAGAAAATCTCTTTAATGAAGTCATTTGTATCTTAAACAATAACAGAAAAATTATGGTATCAAGAAGTACATCTGGAAAGACCAAATGTATTTACATGACATTTCATGTAAGTTTTTTATTTTATTTCTTTATTTTGAGATGCAGTCTCACTCTATTATTCAGGCTGGAGTGCAGTGGCACAATGTCGGCTCACTGCAACCTCTGCCTCCTAGATTCAAGCCATTCTTCTGCCCTGGCCTCCCAAAGTGCTGGGATTAGTGGCGTCAGCCACCTCACCCAGACTTCATCTACGTTTTTAAAAAATATGCAATTCATATATGATATAATGGTAAACTATATAAGAATGGGTAAAATGCAGAGAGTCTTGTTATTTCCTCCTTCTAATATCCAAATGAAAACTTGATAAATTTTGTTTATCTCCAAGGTCCTGGGTATCAATAATCAATTTCACTGCCACGTTAGTTGCAAAAGACAATAGTACTAACAAATTTAAATAAGATACTTAAAAATTCATACTTTGTCAGACTTTCTATACATCTAGAAATACTAGATGTTTAAAATTAAATATTTCATTTGCTTATTATTTACAAAAATGTCTTGGTTATTGCCATGCCAAAAAATGAACAAAACTATATAATAAGAATCTATGATATGTTCTTAAGAAAAATGAATTGCATCATGAACCTCAGTACATCCAGGAAAATAAGACATACCTTTCAATAGAGAGGTTACTTTTATATGAAACTGACCCAAACAATTTAATTAATTAAAGTTAAATTTTACTTTTAAACGCGTGGGGGGAAACTAGTCTATCTTCTCCTTTTCTAACATGACTGCACATACACATTTAACACATAAGCTTAAACATGTGCAAGTAATTTGTCTTTTACAATACCAGCAATGCAATGAAGACTACAAAAAGTGAAAACAACAATATCAAAAGAAAAATGTGTCTCTCCTCTTTATCAACAAACTATGTATTTACAAAATTGAAATGTTATAGAACAACTATGATGATCACAGCTATTTAATAGTAACCCCAAGAGAGCCACCCATACAGGGCTTTTAAAATCATTTGCGGGGCTAAGCAAAGTTTAACAAAGTGATGCTTGGAATATATTTATGTCTACACTATCTATAAAACAACAACAACAAAAAACTAAAGAGGACTGCAAAGTTGTCTGGCAATATCCATGGAGGGGGATTGGTACCTGTACCGCACCCCCATACCAAAATCAGTGCATCTCACTCCCTCAGTCAGCTCTACGGAACCTATGGTAATGAAAATGGGGTGCTGTTTAACCAGATTTCAGATTCTGCCAATGCTGTACTTTCCAGCTGCATTTGCTGGCAGATGAAAACCCCGGAGGTAGAAGGGTCGACGTGACAACTGTACATTACAGATATGAAATGACAAAGTATTCAACATCCTTATCCATGTGCCTCCCAACAAACAAGTCAATCAGGAAGCTAATGCCTATATTAATGATTTTTAAAAATATATTCATCAGCAATGTCTATGTATTAATAGAAAAAGAATAGATTATAAAGATAGAACCTGACTCTACACACAGCAATCTAAAAATCCCACTCTACCATACAGGTTTGGTATCCCACTTCACTTCAGCAAACATAAAAAGCTTCTGACCTATATTTTTAGGTAAAATATATCCACTAAATATAACAAATTTCTACACATTTATAAAGGTAGATGACATATTATATACATGGACATATCAACAATCAAATAAACCTCTGCATAAACACCAAATTAAAAAACAAAATAAAGGTTAACACTTCTATTGGTAAAAGATCATTTTCAATCACACTTTAACATTCATATATTATACATCTTCATGTATGTGTACGGTGGGTGTTTCTACATACCTAGGAAATTCAGATGTTATTCAAGATGCTTATCTATTATTCACACAGCAGTCAAATGCTCTCCAGCTCTATCCAAGCACCCAACAGCCCAATAAACACAGGAAGGGACAAGCCACCAATTAGATTGGAAGAAAAAAAATTAAAATGTACATTTTCATATAAAAACGTTTTAGAAAAAGACTATCTCATTTTTTAAAACTTCAGAACCCAAAACCCAAAAGACCCTCAAAATCAAACCTCAAAAGAACAAACATGCTAACTCCATTGGCAAACAATAATTCTACTTTTGAATGAAAATATATTTCCAAAAATAACAGTAATTGCACATTCAAAAATGTTGTATTTATCTTCTATGTACAATTTATACTCTACATCAACTACATAAATCCCACATAAACATGGCATAGCATTTCTACTGATCAAACTCAAGTGTGTATGTCCTTGCCTAGTAGTTCACTGGTCACAAAATATGCCTATTAATAATCTGTATGCAGATGCTAAAAATCAAAAGGTAACATTTGTCTACTCTAGCAGCCATACAATATTTCAGGCAATTTAAGAATATTTCTATTCTATGGCAATAAATATTGTTTATACAGTGATATGAATGCATAAATAAACCTGCATACACAAATACATGTGTCAGTAATTCCTACAAATCAAAGAGTAAACATTTAAAGCAAAACAATTATATATTGTGACTGTTTTATACACATCTAACAAAATTCCCCTTCACTGCTCAATTATTTACACATATAAATGATCTGACTATGGGGAGAAGGGAATAAAAGCTTTCACTAAATATGTATGTATATATATAGATACGGGTGTGAGTGTATATATTTAGAAACATGCAGACATTACCCCTCCTATGATTTAAAAACACGTAACAACCATGTATATTGTATACACATAACACAAGTGTTCCATTGGTCAGCCAAACACCTAATAAACTCAGGTTTAACATCCCATTGCTAGCATTCCCATAACATACTTAAAATGCCTCTACAAATAGAAACATTTTAAATCAAAACAAGTCATTACTGATGAAAGTCACATTTCTTTGGCAAACGGGAACTTTTTTATCCTATGCTATTTGACTGCATATGGCAATTTTTCTGTTATACAAAAAACTGCATATACACCATGTTGTAGCTGTGAGAAAAACAGTCATATATATATTTCTATTAAGATATATAGTATTATAATAGAAATTATAAGAACATTCCAATTATAACTACCACAACCTAAAAATTAAGCCCAATATGATCCAATGAAGTTTGCTTTTTGCAAGCAAAACTGGTTCCATCCCACATGAATTATCTAGAAAATTAGATGTTAAAAATATTTACCATATCCACCAGCAATGAATTAGTGTTTCGAGGCAATTTAATGAATTAATATTCCGAGAGGTGATTTAACACTCCCACTAGCAAAAGGAAAGCAGTCTACCTTTTTACAATGTAATGTTAACATATATGCAAGACTCCCAGCATCTTCACGTGGATTTAAGTCTGGAGGCCCTGCAACATATGCTCCTATGCATACAGGGCTCCTGACACCCCACCCTGTTATCTCCAAAATCCACATCTAATATTTGCCTAATACTTACAAAGGCATCTAGAGTCTAGAAACTCCTATCTGTAACCAATGACATCATTGTGAAACAATTTAATCTCCCCCAAAATGCAAAATGTCAGCCATATCTACGCTGGTTAAGATTTAGTAACACAATCTGGTTGATTACAGATGCAAAGTAATACAAAAGCCCACCCAACCCTTACCATGCAAGTGTTCATAGAACCTGGCTGGCCTTTTCGGCAATTCCGTCATGAAAAGAATCTTACACCATGAAAATTTTAACAGAAAGATCACTGACAAAATAACATCTACATCCATGACTTTGATACATACAGCAGCACTAATAAAACTTTGTAGTTAGAAGTTGTATACATTAAGTTTCCCCAGAAAAACATCACAGCAATAAACCAAAATAAAAGGATTTTTAATGTACACAGGATTAGTAAGAGCCCACTCAGCGGTATCTAACAATTATATTTCTACAATCATTTTCTAAAATGCTTCTATATACTTTAGCAAACTCATTATTAGCAATATCTATGTATCAAGAAAATGTCATAAAACAATTATACTTATGAACTTTATATAATGTATCCTCAAATGCACATAAACAAAATGCCTTTTTTTCTAATTAAGATATAAAACACTTTCCATGTCATTTTCTCTTGCCCTTATGCACTCTACAAGTGAATACAGAATTGTACACATCTTTAAACCGTGACCTGAGAATTCCTTTCTGACATCTGTTCTAGAATAAAATTCTACCAAGTACGTTTTCAGAAGCTTCCCTAGGAAACCAGCTATTTAGCCACAGCAACCATATTAACAAGCTGAACAGGTTCATGTTCAAAATCCGTTTGCCTTTAACTAATTACTTTCCAAGTAAGATCATGCAAAAAAATACAACTATTACACATTTAATTTCATTGTCTGGCTTAACTAAGGCACAATGAACAATTCATACACATTATTCAATGTGTATCTTATATTTTCACTTCAATACTATTATCCAAACATAACTTTTCCACATATTTAAACAAACCCATAAGCTAAATATATCCAGGAAAAGAAGTTAACACAATTTGAATATTTGGAGCTCTTTCACAATGCTAGCACAAGGGTGGGAATGATGTCCTTAATGCATGTGCACACAAGTGTATCATGTGCAGGGCTTTTACTGGTAAATCTTTCAAATGTAAGTAGACTCTCCATAGCAGGAAAAAAAAAACCTTCTTGGTTGAAGTTCAGGCAAGTACCAATCTATATTTCTTTCTTCCAAGGCTTTCTAGCTGATGAAGCATCTAGCTGAATTCAACAATGTTAACCTTCCCCTTCTATCAACATATTCCTGCAGGGTTGGCTTGTCAATTTGAGTTTGTGCAGATCAGCCAAAATATTTCAAGTTTTATACAATTGAAACGTTTTTCCACAGATATTTGTTTATGCATCCGCCAAGCTGTGACTCAGATGGCATTCTGGGGAAGAATCTGGAATGAGTTACTGTTCTGATTCTATGAGGCGGCGGCAAGTGAGAGCAGATCTGGACCACGGCTCTACAGCGGACCATGGCCAAAGACCCTTTAAAACAGCCGTCTCCATGGGACTTTAACCATCCACCACAGTCAAGAAATAAAAGTGCTCCAGAAGAATCTGTAAACTACAATTTTCTCAATGCTGGGGTAGTCACTCATGTTACTCCCTCCTGCTCATATATTTCAATGAAAAAAAGGTTCACAAATCTACCCTAAATCACTAGTTGCAATCAGTACTTCCTGATGCAAAACTTTCTAAAAATTTTTTAAGGAGAAGATTAGAGTGAAGGAATGCCACAAAATATACTAATCCGAATGTTCAGTGTCCACAAGTGGGTGGTTTCCAGGGTTTATTGTGGCAAAAGATGTTCTAAATATTATAAATTACACAATCTTTGTCCTCTCTCTTGATTATTGCTTATTTTAAAAACTCTTCAAACACGACAACTGTTCATTTAGTAAGAAAACCTGGCCAAGTGCAGTGGCTCAAACCTGTAAACCTAGCACCTGTAAACCAAGGCAGGTGGATCACGAGGTCAGGAGCTCGAGATCAGCCTGACCAACATGGTGAAACCTCACCTCTACTAAAAATACAAAAACTAGCTGGGCGTGGTGGCACACACCTGTAATCCCAGCTACTGCGGACGCTGAGGCAGGAGAAATGCCTGAACCTGGAAGGCAGAGGTTGCAGTGAGCCAAGATTGTGCGACTGCACTCCAGCCTGGGCGACACAGTGAGAATTCATCTCAAAAAAGAAAAGAAAACCTGATGAGGTTTGTCTTGTTTTTCCCACGTCAGCTCTGCCAGACAGATGAATTCAAGAATCTGAGGTTAGAAGGGAACCAGCTGAAAGTATGTGAATACAGTTAAGATGACAAAGCCCTCAGATGGAAGAGAAATTCCAGATCAGTTATGTAATGGGGTGAACTGTATCTTTTGTACAGTAAGTTTCTAAAGGAAATAATCCTGGGTCCATCTTTTTTAAGCTCCAATTTAGCCCACGAATGAAAGCAGTCTCCTTGCACCCTAGCTGGCATCTCCTGTATACGTCTCTTCAGAATTGACAGTCACATGTATCACAGTGATCTTAAAAAGATGTTTCTGAATGTAAATGAGTTTGAGATATTTCACAAATTTACTTTCCAGTTATTCTTCTTCATCTGTTCATGTTTTGTCCATTTTCAAAATAATTCTTCACGCCTTCTTGTTTACATTGAATTGCAGATATTTACGTCTACTACAGGAATCAACAGAGTAAATAACCAGTATATTTTGCCAACCCAAATATAACAGATGCATTTTCATTTATTTTTATGTTGTCAACTACTCTCAACCCACTAATAAGTAAACTCTGTCTTAACCTCTCCAACAGCAATGGCCTCTTGATTTCTAACAGATTTGCTCAAAGGACAAGTTTATGTGAACACATGCTTTCTTTTAACATGTATGGAATATTTATTCTCCAGTGAGCTAGCCTGAAGTAGGTGGAGGTATCCAATAAAAACACAACCTTAAGGAACCACCTTTTCTATTTTTAACAAACCCCCAACCACAAATATGGCAATGTCTTAGGAATCTCTCTACTTGATGAAAAACAACTTTAATTTAAAGCAAGACAATATGTCCCAATTCCCTACTCTCAGCTATGCGGTAACAATGAAATATGCTTTTTCTTGACCTAAACGCTAACAAAGGAGAGAAAAAAAATCAAGGGTGTAATAGACAGCCATACTTTGCCTGTACTCTACTAGAGGACAAATTTGTTTTACTTTCTTCATTCATGTATTGACTCTACTAATGATTGTGGTTAACAACATACCAATGGAACAAAAACTGACTATCCATCTAACACCTTAACTAGACACTAATTATTATGCTAGGCCTTGAAGAAAGTGCAGTAAAAATTACAATCAAGGCATCTAATAAATCATTAATGTTTCCTTCTCTCTATGAGGGAAAGATATCAGAAAAGTCAGTGTATTTAGTCTTTTAAAACTGTTATTTCCAAATTCTGCCATGTACTCATCTTAGACAAATGAAAAGCATTATTTCAGCAAGTCAAAGCTTTTGAAGAAGTTATCGTTGTTGTGACTTTAATAATTTCTAAGGGATGGAATTTTTTAGTTTTTCTTGCTACCTTGACATCATTACCTAAGGCTGTAATTCACACAATAGATAAAAACACCCAGTCAACCTAAAATGTGAAGCCACGGTGTCCAGCCATGCTCACTAGAGAGAGTTACACATCATATAATTGACATTACAATAAAAAGTACATGTCCCAAATTTGTTACCATCCTCCAAAATAATTTCAATAATTCAAAGGCCATATATATGTTTAAATCCTCTGTAATTTCTTCTCACTTTATTCAGTCCAAGCCAAGAGGTATGCTTGTTTGAAGTCTGAGTTTCTTGTTCAGTTGCTGTATCACAAATAAGTCTGATTTGACCTGAATATATCCATATTCTTCAGCACTTCCAGACCTGGAGGGGTTTCAGCTAAAGTGGTTAATATTACACTTTTTAAGTAAAAGAGAACAGTCCATTGTAACACTATTCCCATCACTGGAAAACAGTACTGAATTTCCAAAAACAACTAACATCACTGGAATGCCAAGCTTTATGTTGAAATTTCCGAAAAACAAACAAACAAAAAAAAAAACAGTATTTCCCAAACCCAAAATATATAAATCCACCAGAAGTAGATGCTTAACATAAAACAATAAATAAATAAAACTAATTATAATAAGTTCAGTAATTAACATTAAATACAAACAGGATTACCTTTCCTTCTCCCAAAAGGGTAGTTATTAGGCAGAAATTACCACACTATATTCATTGAGATTAATATCTGCTCATAAAATATTATTTTTTAATCTTCTGTTTTCTGGAATTCTTCTTTTATCCAAAGTGAATTTAGCTGGATTGAATTTAGAAATAGCTGAATTTACTCAAAGTTAGTTTATTTTACATTTAAATGGGTATAGTTGATTCACTGTTAGGAAAATTATCAAAAATAAGCTTGTTTCCTCATATGAGGTAGGTAATTTAAATTTACATTAGAAATTTATTATTGTTAAGTGATATATGTCTAGTATTCCCCAGGAAACGACAAAGTGTTTATATATATACACACTATTCTACACTGATTTACATTATTATGTAAGACAACTTTCTCTCAAGATTCCCTGGTCATGATCACATTTGAAAATATGCTATAAAATGATTATTTCATTTTTTTATATCAATGTATAGTAAAAGACATACAATAGCACTCTAAGTGTGGTTCCTAGAATCTGCAACATCTAGGAACTTGATAAAAATCAACTTTTCATACTTATGCCTAATAAGCCAGAAATGCTAATGTCATGACCCAGTAAACTGTGTTGAGAAACCCTCAGGTGATTCTTATCAACAATCAACTTAACAAACCACTAACTAACCAAAGCTGCCTAGAAATATAGTCCTTTATAATAATTTAGCAAGAACATACATTTAATCAGCACACCTTGCTAATTAAAACAATCTCAGTAAAAGACACTATTACCTATTTATGCCTCAAGAAAAGGTACAGAAGCTAACACGGAAAAGGCAGCTGAAACTCCTTCTCTGAAGCAAAACAGAAACTTGCTTGTAAATGATAATTCCGACTCCTAACATATAACATCTATTGTTCCACAATTCAAAGAAGTTTTCAGATTTCCAACAAATGAAACAATCACAGTATTATTCTCAATTTACCTTTCTCCCTCCATACAACTGAAGAACATGCTCTAACCACATTAAACTTTGTTTCTTTCCTTGTTTTCCTCCTACTACTCATTAATGTAATTTGCCATCTACTGCTAACTCATTCCTTCACTACTCTCAGCAAATTACTTTTATCATGAATTAGCTTGGATGGACCTCAGACTCCTTTTGCAGGAATGGAAATGTCATCCAATTCATCTCATCATCAATCCAACCCTCCTCCTACCACTCCACCAAAACACACACACACACACACACACACACACACACACACACTCTCTCTCTCTCTCTCACTCTCACACTCTCTCTCTCTCTCTCTCTCTCTCTTCCAGAGATTCTTATTTTTAGGGCATTTATTTTAGGTCTTCTGTGAAGTATCACCCCTCAAATGAGGTTGTTTGGTTGGGCTGAGCCAGCAACTACCACTGCATTCTCTAGATTGCACCAAGTATCTGAAGATCATAGACCCCCTGTCAACACTACACACACCTCAACAAACCTGGCACTAATTCCCTCTTTTTATCACTTCCTGGTTGTTTAGAAACTAATTCAGTTAGCAGGAAGGGAAAAACTCGTATTTCTCAGTTCATCCAACATATCCCTAACTGCCTGGATCAGGAACACTAACATTACCAAACAAATCTGAGAGGTTATAAATACACTAACATTTCTACCAGAAGAACAGAAACTCAAAGACAAGAACTTTGTAAAGAATGTTCATTTCTCTGAACCCCAACAGCTTTTCTCTGTAAACCAGTCATTTGTCATGTGGTCACACAGTACCAACACCCACATCATTAATATATACATATGTATACACATAACACATACAGAATTTATCCACTAAGGTAACAACTAGATAATACGATCTTGCTATATTCAACTGTTCATGGCATATATTTTAATATAGTCTTTTCTAAATCACCTTTTAATTCACCATCCCTCCTTCATAATAACTACTTAGAGGCAAAACACAAGCACCTACTCATAGAATGTCAATCACACATAACTAAAGAACCATCAACCATACAAGCAAAAATAAGAGTATAGAATAATGTGTGATTAGGGATGTAACTCAAAAAATGCATGGTATTTAGCAAATTATTTAATCCCCATGGGGCTCAGCATCAAAAACTATATAATGCCATTTCATTCCCTTAACCGAATCTAAGAGTCAAAACTAAATCTCCACTTATGTCTTTTAAAGATACAGCAGTTAACTTAATTAAAAGTAGAATTGATCCCTGTAAATGTAACTTGAGCATTCTGCTAAAAATATAAATCAAGTCTCATCTCAAACCAAAGCAATGTCTCAGCCACAAATTAGCAATTTCTCAATTATATGCTAAATGTAGAAGTTGCCTCAGTGATAAAAACATGCTCATGAAACTTTCATACAAAGTTGGAACTGGGTGATGAAAGTGATGGGGTTAAAAAAAAAAAAAAAGAACATGGGAGCTCCCAAGTACTTACTCTCTTGAAGTTAGCACTTGAAATGCAAAGGGATGGCCGTGTGGGGTGATCGGGTGGCTCACACCTGTAATCCCAGAACTTTGGGAGGCTGAGGTGGGTGGATCACTTACAGACCTTCCTGGCAAACATGGCAAAGCCTGTCTCCACAAAAATATACAAAAATTAGCTGGGCATGTTACCACATGCTTGTAATCCCAGCTATTTTGGAGACTGAGACAAGAAGTGTCTGAACACAGGAGGCAGAGTCACAGTGAGCCAAGACTGCACCAAAGATGAGACATACAATGCAATGAACATAGAACATCCTCTACAAAAGGTTAACTGTACTAAAGGATATAGAACCAACTTCTCTCTATTCCCCTGGAAAGACCTACAACACGCCATTATCTTTAGCCTGTAACTGATAGGAAAAGCCTTGTGAAACATAGCGTCTAAGAATTTATGTTTTGAGTATTTGTGTCCTGAGTCCTTAGGACTGATACTGAGGCTGGACTTCAGAGTAATCACATTGAGCTTTACTTCATCATGCTCAGTAAACACAGCTCATCACAAATCCAGCCCAGGTCTTTCCCAATGTCTTTCCCATCAACTAGTAAAAATATGTTTTAAAAAAATTAATCCCTATAGACAGTGTGTCTCTACCCATAGGGACAATCCATGGCCTGGAAGAATAAACTATGGATAAAAAACAACAACAGTATCATTCAAAGCACACAGATTTAAGGAAAAGTATGAAGACACACACAGTCATCTATATGAAGGAAACACACAACAATCTACATGAAGGAAACAAACACACACACACAAACACACGCACAACCAATCTGCCACGCTGGGTCTCATAGAGCTAAATACAATAATCATTTCCATTAGCAAACTGTCCAAAGAACTGAAACGGAAATATCCTAATGCCACCACTGATATTATCAACAACTTGCTATTCTCCGCAATAATTCAATGTAAACCAATTTTAGGATTAGAGTACACTGAAAACATACTTCAAAATATTCCAGAGTTAAGTGTAAACAAACGGTATGGAAATACAAAGGAGGATCGACAAAATCCAGGCTGACACAACATATGATGCACAAAGTCCAACAAAAGGATTCTGAAGGAGGCCTAAACTAACTATTAACTTCCCTGACAAGAAGCAAAGTAGCAAAGTAAGACAATCCAAATTTTATCATGAGAACTCACACTATTATTCCTGATACCCACCTCCTAAACATGAAATCATTAGATTTCAGGAACTGTATCCTTCCAACTCAAATGTTTGCTACCAAAGAACAAATAATGTAACATAAAATGAAAATATCTATACCAACATGGCATTCAAAAGAGGGGAAACCGTCCAAACAATTCAGACACACAATTACCTAACCCTCTTGGTCACTGTATTCTCATTAGTTCAACAGAAAATGATTTACATTAACTGAACATTAAGTTCAAATATGAGGGTCCTTCTTGAATTCTGGGCCCTTAGTATGGACCTCACTTCAAGTTGAATCATCTCAGCAAAGCAAATTAACCCAGCCAAGCTTTTCCTACTAATGATTTCTACATTACTATTAGTTCTTAAAACTCATGGGCAAGCAGGCATTGTATTTCAAAACAATTCCAATGACCCAGCTAGATGACACTGAAAGTGGAAGAGCTAGAAATACTATTTCTCCATGTCTGCAACCCCCTCCTTATTGTACAATACCTCATCCATTTATCAACATGTATTTCTACAATAGTCCCAACCACTCTACTTTCTATTGGCTTAACAATCCATCATTTGAACTTTTTAACTCAAAAATTTGTACTTTTCTTCCCAGAGGAGTCTTATCTGTCTTATTCCCAGGCTGGAGTGCAGTGCAATGGTATTGGCTCACTGCAGCCTCTGGCTCCTAGGTTCAAGCAATTCTCCTCCCTCAGCCTCCCGAGTAGCTGGGATTATAGGCACACACCACCTAAGATTGGCTAATTTTTGTATTTTTTGAGACAGAATATTGCTATGTTGGCCAGGCTATTCTCAAACTCCTGATATCAGGTGATCTGCCCACCTCAGCCTCCCAAAGTGCTGGGATTACAGGCTTGAGCCACCATGCTCAGCCTCAAATATTTCTATTTAATTAAGTATTCGCTACCTCATTGTGCAAAAGAGACCTGCTCGCTCCCGTAAAGTCCAACAGCATTTGTTGATTTCTACTTTTTAACCACAACCACCAAGTAACCCCAAAAACATAACCAGAAATACACTGTAAACAACACTGCAAGGTACTAAACAAGTGCTGGTGAACACTAAGTCAAATGACCTGCATTTGGGAATGGCTGACTACTTCATGTTGTAAATGTATGAAGTCAGATATTAGGCCTAGATTCTGATCAGATATTCTGTCATAAAGAAGTAACCGTAAAATACCTAAAAACTTGTTTTCTAACATGAAAAAAATTAGCTCTTGGCACAGTGGCTCACACCTACAATACGAGCTGAGGCAAAATGATGGCTTGAGGCCAGGCGTTCAAGACCAGCCTAAGCAACAGTGTGAGAGTTCAGCTCTAAAAAAATTACAAAACTAAAATTAGCCAGGCATGTTGGCATGTGACTGTAGTACCAGCTACTCTGGTGGGTGAGGTGAAAGGATCGTTTGGGCTGAGGAGTTCAAGGCTGCAGTGAGATATATTAATGGCACTAAATTCCAACCTAGGCTGTGAGATAATATCTCTCTTTACAGAAATTAGTATTGCTGTCCCATTCATTGAATGCTTAGTATTTCTTAAACATCTATTGTCGGCTTTGTACAAGTTGATCAACTGCACACAGCTGAAGAAAAAAACATATAAACAAAATCAACTGTCCTAAAATGCCAATAGTATTCATGTAAAAGCATGTACTATACTCACTGTGTTCCATAATATATGCTCCATAAATATTATTCCTCCTCCTTCCTGGACAACACTTAGAACCCTAGAACTCTGGCACTTTTATTTTTTTTATCCGAGAGGTGGTAGTCTCATTTTTACACATCCTTGTTTCCATCTCACCAAGTGCCTGTGCCTTCTGTGATCCAGGGTAAGCTTCTTTTTAGCTTTCAACAACGTACAACATGTAGAAAAAAAAAAAGTAACTCATAGTATCTACACCAACAAAAAAGGGTATCTGAGGAACTAGCAAAGTGCAATACTACACCTGCCATTTTTATGTATTCAAAGTTTTCACAACATTTTCTGCAGAAAATCTTGAAATCACAAAGTCTAGTGAGGCACACTGACTAGATTTCAGAGTGTCATTTTTAAGCTCAAGTTTTGAAATCATTATGTTCAGACAAGGTCCTGTATCATCATGAATCTAGCCAAGGCCTCTGCAATATACTCTTATTTTTCTTTACAATGTTATTTTACCTGAGCAGTTTATGTTTCTGTCCTAAAAGCACTTAATATGATTTTCAGCCTCGTTGTGACACTACTGAGTAGGATCCACACTGACGACACGTCAAAGTTTAGCCATCAGATTCTCTTCCTTTCAGAGGCATCAACTAAGTGGTCAAAATGTGGTATCACATGACACTGAAAAAGTTGCAACACAAATATCCTATTTCAGGCCCAAATGTCATTCTCCCACTACAAAAATCCCATGAAAATATACCTTCCTTTATTACATAAAATTCATATACTAAACATTAATATGTCTATGAACATGATGAAGAGAACTGGAATGCAAATGTAAGACAGAACGAAGCAATGTACTACTGACTAAAAAACATGCCTTTAAAAACTTCAACCCATGGCTGGGCATGGTGGCTCACACCTATAATCCCAGCACTTTGGGAGGCTGAGTTGGTCAGATCACCTGAGGTCAGGAGTTCGAGACCAGGCTGGCCAACACGGTGAAACCCTGTCTCTACTAAAAATAGAAAAATTAGCTAGGTGTGGTGGCCCACACCTGCAATCCAAGCTACTCAGAAGCCTGAGGTAGAAGAATCCCTTCAGCCCAGGGGGCGGAGGTTGCCATGAGCCGAGATCACACCACTGTACCTCAGCCTGCACAACAGAGTGAGACTCTGTCTCGAATAAATGAGTAAATAAAGACTTCAACGCACAGATTATAACTACTTGCTGAAATCAGTAAAGGTAGTATCATAAGTAAATATACCAGATAAAGGGTGTTTTCATTAATATCTTAAACAAGATCATGAAAATTCTAGACAACCAGCACTATTTCATGTAATTATCTATATAGTTCCCACTTGTAATATTCTATTACAAGAACCTGTAAGAAACAAAATGGGCCAGGCGCGGTGGCTCACGCCTGTAATCCCAGCACTTTGGGAGGCCGAGGCGGGTGGATCACGAGGTCAAGAGATTGAGACCATCCTGGTCAACATGGTGAAACTCGTCTCTACTAAAACTACAAAACATTAGCTGGGCATGGTGGCGCGTGCCTGTAATCCCAGCTACTCAGGAGGCTGAGGCAGGAGAATTGCCTGAACCCAGGAGGCAGAGGTTGCGGTGAGCNAAAAAAAAAAAAAAAAAAAAAAAAAAAAAAAAAAAAAAAAAAAAAAAAAAAAAAAAAAAAAAAAAAAAAAAAAAGAAACAAAATACCAGTATGTTAATAACAAACTTCTGAAATTTGACATCATAATTGATAAATGAGTTCACAAAAGCAGGGAGCTCCCTAAGCAACTTTCAAAATCCTTTTAATTCCAAGACAAGTTTACCCACCACATAAAAATAGAATACCTCAAATACTTCATAACCTATTTTAAGGTAGCATAATTATCCCAGAATTCTATTTGAAATTATTCTATAAGCTACAGTGAACGCATGGCAAACATGATGTGCAACATGGATATATTTGTGGAGTCAGTTAATAACATGCATATCAGGAAATCAGAAAGTTGTTGACCAATCATGTTTTAGATGAGACATGTATTTATTTTAATACAAGAATATAGGATGGTTGTTAAGTAACATCAAGCATTAACTACCAAGAATATTTGAAGACTGGTATGTTGATGTGCATCCCTAGTGGAAACATACAGAAGCACAGACTAGCATTCCATAACAAAAAATTCACCACACTCAATTATACTAAAATCTACAACCAAAGTTTTCTTCTATTATATCATCACAATCAGGATTCTCAAAAAGTCCAGAATTTCCCAACAAAAGAAGACAGTATTATCACCAAGCAAAATAACTACAAGAAGCAAGAATCTTGCAGAATCTAGAGTTCTTAAAACTTACCTTTAACTCATGTAACAGGCCATATTCAATTAAAAATATCCTGAAAACAGATTTTCTTCAAATATGCTGCATAATCATTCATGCCATAATCTAAGGCCCATCTACACCAGCGCACCAATGCAAGGAGAAACGCTTCCCCTCCAAAAACAAAAAAAAAAGTAATCAATTATAAGTACTTGAGGAGCAGTATAGAAAGAACTCACAGGTCTCTCTACATACTACCCATCCCACAGTTTGCAGAGGAAAAGTGTTCGTCTTATCATCAGTTAATTTGTCTGAACTGAGAAGCTCTGCCTTCAAAGATCCAGATAAAGTACTTTGGTTCTGGCTTTGGTAAATCAAGAAGCTTGTTTTAACATTTATAAATTCTGAAAACAGTGATGTCACTCCTATATTATATAATCTCCTAAAGCAACTAAGGCTTGGCCTCTTTTTATTTTCCTTACCTGAGAGTGGCCATTAATCCTTGAAGCTATTTTGGCAGAGACCACTTATCAAGTCAGTAACAGGAACTGTTGTCACTCTGATAATTCCTCTTCCTTGGGTGATTACCACCTGCAAGGATGTGATTTAAAAGATGGAAAAGGTGACATTCACAACCACTACTGGTAAATTCAAGAGAAAAAAATGTAATTCCAATCAGTCTATCAGTATCGTTAGCATTAACACCAATCTCTGTAGCACTTGGTAAAATCCACTGTTATCATCACTGCGAATCATTCCCTTGCTGCCTAAAAATTTCTTCCGTTTTATAAATGGCTTCTTTGTTCCACAACCATCTCAAACTGGACCTAGATACTCGGGCATTCCTGAACTATTTAGCTCCCTGTATGTCACTTAGTGATATCCTTGGACATAACTGTTAATTTGTATTTCAGTGTGCTAAGTATGCTTTAGTGCATCAGCTATCTTTATTATCAGTATTACAACTTATTAACTCAAATATGCAACCTCCTGCCTCCAAGTACCCAGGATCTGCCACTCATTTAGTAATTTATAAATAAACACTTACTCAATGGTTGAAAATGATATACCAGTATCACATCCTCTACTCTGATCACAGGGCACGGTAAAACCTGATCAACTGAGGTCAACATTCCAAAAAAAAAAAAAAAAAAAAGAGTAACTTGCATTTCAAATGCCTTCATATTTAATGAGCATGGAGTGTGATTCATTACAATTTTCTTCATTATACAGGTGGCCTTACAAGGTCTTTCATCCCATCCCCACTTCCCTTCAGATAATGGGACAAAGCAACATGAGAAGCAGGAGTCCATGTGTGAAACAGTACAAGCACTTAAACCCCCTGGGTCATGAAAACATTATTAAACCAACACCAGTCAATGCACAAAGTAAAAGTTAGAAAGCAGAAAACCTTTTTATCCTAAGACTTTTTAAAGAGAGTGTGATTTGAATCAGCTGCTTAATAGGCGTCACCTCATCCACAGTAACTTAAGATCTCATCAAAATCAACAGGCAAAAAAATATATACAACAGTACCTCACAGTTTAATTGCTCTATGAATTTATTATTAGCTATTATTAATGCAGAACAAGGGGACAAAAAGCTCACAAACACTCTACACAATTTCAGAAGACGCAATGCAGGGGAGAGAGAGACTGAGATGGATCAACAGTATGCTATGGTCTTGGTGGACGCATTCCTGGGGGAGGTGGACCTGAAAGGAAATAGAAACATTGAGAAAAAGAGGATACAGATATTCAGGGGCCTGGCTGAACCATCCAGCCCCTATGCTCCCACTCACCTCTAATGCCTGGTGGAGGGGGTCTCATTCCCGGAGGGGGCATACCTATTGGTGTCCCTCGAGCAGGGGGAAGCCCAATTGGTGGGCCCATGGGTGGTCTCATACCAGGTGGAGGAGCCATAATACCTGCAGTGAAAAATGGCAGAAATAAAGGCCTTATAAACTAGCTTAGGAAAGTTGTTAGAATTTAGTCCAAATAATCCCTAAATGGGCCAGACAATAATGATAGAGTCAAATAATTTGTATATGACAATTACTCTTCTATGTCTTTCATCGAAAACCAGTTTCTAGAAGAAGGAAGCATATTCCCCCAATTCTTAGGTTCTCAGGATATGCCTTAAATCAGTAAGCTATCTCACATGAGAGACCAAAATTCATCTTCATTTTCACCAGTCCCTTACCTGGAGGTGGGGTTGCTCTCCCGACAGGTGGGGGCGGAGTCCCCCGTCCTGGTGGGTACTGTGTTGGGGCTCCAGCAATGCTGGCAGTCGCAGCAACAGCAGCAGCTGCTACAGTGCCTCTTCCCTGTGGAGTCATTACCTGAGAAGACAGGGCGAGAAACAAGTAAGGCAAAACTTCACATTATTCACATATCAGAAAATAAATTAGAAAAATGGCCTATTAGATACAATTAACTGTTGCAATGATGTACTTCTCTCATCATTCCCATGTTTTTTTGAGACAGAGTTTCACTCTTGTCACCCAGGGTGGAGTGCAATGGCTTGATATCGGCTCACTGCAACTTCCCATTCCTGGGTTCAAGTGGTTGATTCTCCTGTCTTGGTCTGCTGGCTAGCTGGGATTACGGGCACCCACCACCAAGCCCAGCTGATTTTTGTATTTTTAGTAGACATGGGGGTTTTCACCACATTGGCCAGGCTGGTCTCGAACTCCTGAGCTCAAGAGATCTGCCTGCCTCAGCCTCCCAAAGTGCTAGGATTACAGGTGTGACCTACCGCACTCAGCGAAGAAACTCAAATTTTAAAAATACCATAAAAAATAACCAGGCCTATTTCCGTATTTTAAAAACTAATCTTGGTCCACTCACATCTAAAAAGGCCTTTCAACTTTTCAACTCTGCTATATCGATGCATTCTGTTCACTCACCACTAGTGGCAAGTTACTCTTACCAAGAATAACTTGGGTAGCTTTCATCACCCCATGGCCATTTTAAGTGGCTAGTTTTATTCCCCTCCCCCTGTGTATGTGTCTACCAGTTCCTCCTAGACTATATGCTGTTTACGTAGTATGACATGTACACTTAGGTTTTCAAATCTTCTCAGCCTCCAGCTTAGTCACATTCTCCCAATAATATAAAGCCCTCTGCTGGTTCCTCACCTGCTGGGATGGGCCCCCAACTCCTCGGACAGGGCCTGCTAATCCAGCAGGGGCCTGGGGAATTGGCACACCAGCTGGTACTCCTCTACCAGCTGCCCTACCAACCCCAGGGCCTCCTGCAGCTCCAGCAAGTGGTACACGAGCAATGCCAGTCTGAAACAAGAAAATTTATAACCTAAAACCAAATGATTTACCAAAGTTCTCAGTATTCTTATTCATCAGAGATCACTTCTCTCCACCATTTTCTCAGGACACCTATCTCATACTAGTTGTGATCCAAATGAACAAGTAAGTATACTATGGAGGTATCCTGTGCTTAAAATGCACATTTTGTCAAATTATGAAAACATCTCTTTTATAAAAATACCAAGCAAAAGCCAATCAGCAACTCCTACCCTTACCTGGGTAATGCCCAGCACATAGAATAATTCACAAAAAACCTCTTAATCCCAAATAGAATAGGCAACCAACAATTGAGATTAAGTGACTGGCACATTTTATTTGCCAATGCATGTTAAACTGTGCCTGTGCTGTACCCTGATTTCAGATGTCTCACATAATAGGATGTTCTTGCAAATTTAAGTTCTGTCTTGCCCTACGTCTTCCTTACATCTTTGGGGGGTGGCCCCTCCACAGTCATGGATACCAAGTTCTCCCCACGTAGCAACACCAGACCCAAAACCCGCTTTTCTTCACGCTCTGGTTGCTTCGCATTCTTTGGCCTATAAATCAGAATTAAATTTTAGTGAGATAAATTTTAGTGATGCCTATATCACTCACTCATCAAAATATTTATACAACATCAAGTATCAATTAAGAAAACTGATGCTATTTAAACATTTACTGAGTTGTGACTGAAAAACAAATGAAATCTCTAAACAATAACACAAGGGTAAACAATAAAGCTCTTTTCTGATCTAACTTTACTCTTTTACAGAATGCTCCCTTGATGTTACACTACAACAAGACTAATTTCTTTTGTAAAATACCTTTTAAGAAAGACAAAACTGGGCTCAGTGCAGTGGCTCACACCTATAATCCCAGCACTTTGGAAGGCTGAGTCAGGCAGGTCATCTGAGGTCAGGGGTTTGAGACTAACTCCCTAAGCCAACCTGGTGAAACCCCGTCTCTACTAAAAATAAAAAATTAGCCAGGTGTGGTGGCATGTGCCTGTAGTCCCAGCTACTCAGGCGGCTGAGGCAAGAGAATCGCTTGAACCCAGGAGGCAGAGGTTGCAGTGAGCTGAGATTGAGCCACTGCACTCCAGCCTGGGTCAAAGAGTGAGACTATGTCTCAAAAAAAAAAAAAAAAAAAAAGACAAAATTGAAACTTCGATTTTTATATTAAAATGGTAACCTCTTTAAAAAATTACTTAAATAGGGCGGGCGCGGTCGCTCACGCCTGTAATCCCAGCACTTTGGGAGGCCAAGGCTGGTGGATCACGAAGTCAAGAGATCGAGACCGTCCTGGTCAACATGGTGAAACCCTGTCCCTAATGAAAATACAAAAATTAGCTGGGCATGGTGGCGCGTGCCTGTAGTCCCAGCTACTCGGGAGGCTGAGGCAGGAGAATTGCCTGAACCCAGGAGGCGGAGGTTGCGGTGAGCCTAGATTGTGCCACTGCACTCCAGCGTGGATAACAAGAGTGAAACTCAGTCTCAAAAATAAATAAATAAATAAATTACTTAAATAATTAATCATAATGACAGGTGACATGGAACTGAATTTAATGGTAAAAACAATGGGAACAGTAATAAGCAAATGGTAACTATATCCCAACTCCTCAACCATAAAGAAAAATTGGTATTGTCTATTTCAACCAAGACTTCTTCGGTATAAGAAGCTGCAGAAGCCAACCAATTAACAATAGCATGTTTCTCGATTTTAAAAATAAAGTAACTTAATATTTTGATCATAGCATATGCTTTAATTCCCAGTAATAAATATATGATTGTTTCACAAACTTGAAAGAGTTTAGATGCAGACTCTGACCTAATTCAGAGATCAAGTCTAGAGTTTAAACAATAGACTGGCCCTACCATAGTTTCCCTACCTACTTCAGTTACCCTTGGAAATCCCTTAATCCACCTATGGCCTTTCCCTTCCCATTGCCTCTGTCTCCAACCCCATTCACCCAAATCAACCTTACTTGATCTTTCTGAACTCATCACAATCACAGAGGATCAAATTCATATGCTTGTCAAAAGCCTTAAAGGTGCCAATGAAGATTCGGCCATCTTGTAGGATGCATCTCATTCTATAGTCAATGTGCTGCAGCATCTTGCTACTCTTGCCCACAGTCTGGAAGCAGTAAGACAAGAGTCACATTTAGCATGCCTACACCCTAGCCATCTTCTCCTGTTTCATCTCCACTCTTACGTAATCCAAGCCTGGTTTCCTTAACTGAACAAATATTCTTTCCTCCTTTTCCACCAACATTCTTCCATATTTACTATGGCTCTCTGAAGGACTACAAAGGATTATGAAAAGTTTTTCACATCTCAAGAACCAATTTTCACCTCCTTAGGGGTGATTATCCTTCTCTTTGACAATGCATGCTCTAAACTGTCCTCTCTCCCTAAGTAAACCAAACCACAATCATGTAGGGTCTTCTCTCTCTCCAGACTGCTTTTCTCTGTACCATTCATGCCCGAACCCTTCTGTTTTTAAAGTCCTCTTTATTGTAATCTGACCTGAGAGTCCATCATCTGCAGTAGTCCTTCACCACTGGAAGTATGACTAAAAACTCCTGTATTTTCTGACATCATAAAACATTTCTCATGACCAGGCACAGTGTCTCATGCCTATAATCCCAGCACGTTGGGAGGCCGAGGTGGGTGAATCACTTGAGGTCAGGAGTTCAAGACCAGCCTGGCCAACATGGAGAAACACTGTCTCTAATGAAGAGGCTAGGGCATGAGAATCTCTTGAACCCAGGAGGTAGAGGTTGCAGTGAGCCAAGATCGCACGACTGCACTCCAGCCTGGGAGACAGAGCAAGACTTCGTCTGAAAAAATGGAAAAAAATCAGCTCATCTCCAACCGATAATCAATGCAATGAGAATTCATATCCATGGATATATCCTTATTTCCAACATTCAGAACCCAAAATCACTGCACGTGCCAGCAAACTATTCCTTTTGGCCCTTAAAGCAGGTTTTCAACCCTCTACCTGAAAGTACAGCTTACCATGATTGCTGTTCCACCAAATCTGATGTCCACAGTTAAAACTTGATGCTTCTGAAGACCTAGGGGAAGGCTCTAGATAAAGGTATCACGCAGGTTCTCCTAGAAACAATGCAAGCTGGGCAGAAGCGTCAAAGAGCAGATGGAGCCTGCAGAGGAAAGCATGTTAAAGCTGTACTGCAATCTACCGCATTTTAAAACAGGCAGACAATTTTACATGAAAATCACTATGACAGACTTGTTCAAAAAACATCCTTCCTCTTATACTTGCTTCCTCACCAAGGGACTACCAAATTTCACTAGTTCCTCATTTTTAACTCCCACATTTGACACGTTTAGGACTGATGAAACACAATGAATTTTATTTTACCTAGCAATTCCTAAGTATTTCAAAACCTAAGCTTCATTTTCCAAAATTTAGTATTTTTCTTTCCATTCTTCATTAAGGTACTGTCTCTCTAGTTGAAAAATCATATCAAGTCATCTCTACATAAACATCTCAATTATTCTTTCATTTAAATTTTTCCTTTTTTCTGAAATACCTATGATATCATCTGCAATATTTTTTCTTCCCCCTAAACCTGCTTCAAGATGATGGTAGGCAGTCTTTCCCCACTAAGAACTAAATGTGTTATAAACCTACCCGAAGACTTCCCGTATCAAAAGGGAACATAGAACTATGGAATATGTATATGTAAGACTCTCATAAAAACTTTCATACATCACGTAATGAAGGACAAGTTAAAAATCACGTTAGTGGCCGGGTGCAGTGGCTCATGCCTATAATGCCAGCACTTTGGGAGGCCAAGGCAGGTTGATCACCTGAGGTCAGCAGTTTGAAACCAGCCTGAACAACATGGTGAAACCCTGTCTCTAGTAAAAATACAAAAAAATTAGCCAGAATGGTATTGGGCACCTGTAATCTAGCCACTCGAGAAGCTACGGCAGGCGAATCGCTTGAAGCTGGGAGGCAAAGGTTGCAATGGGCCAAGATCATGCCACTGCACTCTAGCCTGGGCAACAGGAACAAAACTCCATCTCAAAATAAATAAATGGATAGCATAATGATGGGTATGCATTAGGAGAAATACATTTGGTGATATTATCATGGTATGAATGACGTACTTACACAAACCCCGGGGAAATACATAGTCTACCATACTCTGAGGCTATATGATATGTGAGTATGTGTATTTATATTCTTCTTTCCACTAGGATCCATATATATATATATATATATATATATCCATATGTATATAGATATCTATACAGATATATACATTGGACATATATCCTAGCAAATTTTTAGGTACCAAACAAAAAGCTAATACTCATAACTGTTTTTTTTTTAAGAGTCTTGCTCTGATGCCCAGGCTGGGGCGCAGTGGGACAATCTTGGCTCACTGCAACCTCTGCCACCTGGGTTCAAGCAATTGTGCTGCCTCAGCCTCCTAAGTAGCTGGGATTACAGGCATCTGCCACCACGACTGGCTAATATTTGTAATTTTAGTACAGACGGGGTATCACTGCCTTGTTGGCCAGGTTGGTCTTGAACTCCTGAACTCAGGTGATCCACCAGCCTCAGACTCCCGAAGTGGTAGGATTACAAGCATGAGCCACTGCGCCCGTCCACATAGTTTCTTATTTTTCCTGGCTATCATGTGCCTTACAATTTTAATGAAAAAGGGTACCAAGTGTTTAAACGTTATTAAAGACTACCCATCCTCCTCCACAGCAGGCTGTAACATGATTCTTACATTGAGCCCTTCCCAGCAAAATTCATCTGATTGTCTACCCTGTAATGTATACTTCATGTATACTTCTATAATCCATTCTTCATCACTTTCTATGACAATTTGACTATACTCACTGGCCCCCACTTTGGTATTTTCTTCTTTGAATCTGCTCCTCTACAACAAAAGTCACCCACTTTTTTCTTTTAAATAGCAAGACAGTAAACATTTTAGGCTTTGTCTGGCACTCAATCTGTTACAACTACTCAAATTTGCACTAACGTAGCACCAATGTACCCACAGACAACATATATAAATGAACATAGTTGTGTTCCAACAAAATTTCATTTATATATAAACAAGTAGTGATCCAGATATATTACCAAACCCTGCCCTAAAGGAATCCTAGTAACAGTTACTATTTACATAGATCTAGAGGGTGACACTACAATAAGATAAAATTAAATATCATAAAATTAGATGGTCCTACTTGCAGATTATAATGCATGACTTAAATGTTATATTTCGAAATTTACAAAAATCTGTGAACTGAGAAGCGAACAAATTCCTATGTAAAAAGAAAAAAATCAATTGTACACACCTATTCAATGAAAAATTCCCTTACTCTAGGGAACAGCTTGGGACAATAATAAGATTCCAATCTGCTTATGCAACTAGAAAATGTTGAGTATAAAGGATTCAAGAAAGGAGGATTTCTCAGAAAACTTCTGTCTCTTTTGATTTAAACCCAAAATGAGCTAGCTGGGCACTGTGGGTCACGCCTGTAATCCCAGCACTATGGGAGGCCAAGAGAGGTGGATCACGTGAGGTCAGGAGTCTGAGAGCAACCGGGCCAACATGGTGAAACTCTATCTCTACCAAAAACACAAAATTTAGCCAGATGTAGTGGCAGGCACCTGTAATCCCAGCTACTTGGACGGCTAAGGCAGGAAAATCACTTGAACCTGGGAAGTTACAGTGAGGTTACAGGAGGTTACAGTGAGCAGAGATCACACCACTGCACTCCAGCCTGGGCTACAGAGACTTTGTAGCCCAATAAACAAATAAATAAATAAATAAATAAATACTCAAAATGGTGGCCATAAATAATTCTAATTAATTCAATTTGAGAGGTAATATTTCAAAAACAGACTCAGAAATGAGGGCATTCTAAACTTAAAGTAGAGAAAAAGAAAAATTACAAAGAGAAAACAAGGGAATAAATCAATATCAAATTTGTAATAGCGTCCTCCTAAAAAATGAAAGCAACATAAAAATGAAATAAATCTACATCACGTTGAAAAATTATGAATAATATTTTTATTACACTGTCTGCTGATTCAAATAGTAAATACACTAGTTAAAACAAAGTTGAAAAGGACAAAACAAAAAGTAATTAGTAAATAAGCACAAGAGAGTATTTAGATTCTGTAATACTTATGGTTAATTATATGCTGTGTATTTATAACTCAATAAGCATAAACTATATTCAAATTAAAATACCTAAATCTGTGAAAGAATGTTTTAACTAGGCTATTTTTTTTTGAAGGCTATGAATACTAATACAATACTTTGCAATAAAATTTAGAAAAATGTACCTTAAGTTCATATTCCTTGATTAAATTTATTTTCAGATCTGCATATCTGGAAAAATTTTTCTACCTGAGGTTTCATACAAAGCTAATAAAATTTTGTTCAAACTACTGGCAGAAAAATATGACACCTCCCCCAAAAAGAAATTATAAAACATTCACTGTAACAGGGTATTCAACAGCAATTTATAGCAAAATTATTTTATGTCACTTAAAAAAAAAAAACACCACCACAAAAGAAAACCACCTGAAAAGCATGCACTACAATAATTGGAATACAGAAACATGACAAAACTTTCAGGGTAGAAAATTTAAGGTCCTGCTTTTGCTTTTTTGAACTTTATGCAATGTGATTATTCTATGAAGCTCTAAGAAAAAAGTTATACATCACTGATAATTAAGTGAATCCCAAGCACCCCATTCTTTAATGATTCTTTATTCCTGATCATTGCTGCATCAGCTCTAACCTGGTTTTTGCTTGGAATCAGATTCCTCGCTATTCCAATATGGCTTTAACCACCTCTTGGTGTCTCAGCTAAGAATGCCTGCCTCAGTTCAGCCTGGAAATCCACCACAGGTACTTGCTGCTGCTGAGAACGCCTTGGGTACAACTGACACCTAGAAAAAGAGCACAATATATATAAATGATAGGGATCCTTACACATTTAAGATCTTCCCTTTTTTTTTTTTTTTTTTTTAGACAGGGTCTCATTCTGTTGCCCAGGCTACAGTGTAATGATGACATCTTGGCTCATTGCAGCCTCTGCTTTCTGGGTTCAAGTGATTCTCCTGCCTCAGCCTCCCAAGTAAGCTGGGATTACAGGCACCTGCTACCTGCTACCACGCCAGCTAATTTTTGCATTTTTAGTAAAGACTACAGGCGTGCAGTGCACCACCACATCTGGCTAGTTTTGTATTTTTAGTAGACACGGGGTTTCACCAGGTTGGCCAGGCTGGTCTCGAACTCCTGACCTCAGGTGATCCACCACCTGCTTTGGCCTCTGAAAGTGCTAGGATTACAGGTGTGAGCCACCACGCCAGGCAAGAAGATCTTCCTTCAGGGTGAGAGCAAGATATTATCTTATGATAAATTATAAAACAAAACATTAATCTCTAAACACAGATTGTGCAAGGGACTAGTGGATACGTAGATATTTACCCAGTCTAGAGATATTTCCAAAGAACTAAAAATACAAGCACTGGCAGCCCTGAAGAGACACCATCAGTGCCATATACAGTCACTCACTTTCAAATTATCCTAGATGAAACAATCCTTTCTCCCCAGGGGTCAGGGGAGGGATACGCTGCTAGAATCTTTGAAGGGAGATGTTCAGGCTGTCCTTCATACTGATCCTTCCAACAAGTCACTATGTGAAATACAGAATTCCAGGGCTATTTATGGCTCATAAAATATGTAAACTGGCCACGCACGGTAGCTCATGCCTGTAATCCCAGCACTTTCAGAGGCCAAGGTGGGTGGATCACCTGAAGTCAAGAGTTCAAGACCAACCTGACCAACATGGAAAAACCCTGTCTCTACTAAAAATACAAAAATTGGCTGGGCGTGGTGGCCCATGCCTGTAATCCCAGCTACTCGGGAGGCAGGATAATTGCTTGAACCCGGGAGGTGGAGGTTGTAGCGAGCCAAGATCGCACCATTGCATTCCAGCCTGGGCAAGGGTGAGACTCTGTCTCAAAAAACAAAGTATGTAAACCAACCTTCTACTGGTAAGCAGGGAATTCCAGAGAAAAGCCCTCAACATACCCCAAGGAATCAGTAATCTGGCTGTAAAATCTGATCATGAGAAGGAAGAGATACAGAAAATTACACTTAGCTTGCCTTGAGGTAAGGATGTCGGGAATCACCAACAATTCTGTCACTGTTGGTATATAAGGATTTGGAAATTGGACTTCTTTCTACAGTTTTTCAATAACATTTAAAACATGCTTCTGTGGCCGGGCGCGGTGGCTCAAGCCTGTAATCCCAGCACTGTGGGAGGCCGAGGCGGGTGGATCACGAGGTCAAGAGATCGAGACCATCCTGGTCAACATGGTGAAACCCCGTCTCTACTAA